TACTTTGCCGGTAAGATAGGTGCTAGGTAAGTAAGTAAGTCTGTCTTTTATATATAGCACTTTCACAGACATTTTCTGTCCCCAAAGACACTTTATAGAGCATCATTCAGCATTATTCATTCAGCATTATTCATTCACTCTATACCCTGGTGATGGTAAGCTACTATTGTAGCCACAGCTGCCACACTGACAGAAGAGCGGCTGCCATGCCACTCTGCCTCCAACCACCACCATCACTCACACACACCACTTTCATTCTAGGCAATGTGGGTGAAGTGTCTTGCCTAAGGACACAATGATTGAATTGATTGTATTTAACTGACCTTGACTATCAACTGTTTATGGAGAACTATGTAGCATGTTTTGGGTTGATGGGGGAAACCAGAGCACCCAGAGGAAACCCATCCAGACACGGGGGAGAAACATGCAAACTCCACACAGAAAGGCCCAGGCGACCCGAGGATCGAACCCAGAACCTTCTTGCTGTGAGGCATAAGTGCTAGCCACTCAGCCACCGTGCCGCCTAGGTGGTATTAGTCCGCCGCTGCCAAGCTTTCTATCCGGAAGTACATATCACTGCTGCTCAGACATAAATCCTTCGAGGTCAGCTGGTTTTCACTTCATAGAAACCGTCTGATCTCGCAGGATTAGAATTCGTTTGTTCGACGGTAGACGGGTACTTTTTTTGCATTGAAATAATCACTGGGGCTTACTGGTATATTAATCTTTTCTCAAATCTCGTAGGAAGAAGGGCAATAACGTCTTTACCCTTGATAAAATTCACCAAACATTCTCTTTGTTCTGGCTTTAAATCCTCGATCTCGGGAATCGTTGCCAACGCAGAATGTATGGCTCTTCACTGATTGGCTGGTGCCCAAATTCGCACTTCCGGGGTTTTTGCGAAACTGTCTAGTGTATTCCGACTCCTGACCTAGTTGCTGGAGAGAAATGAAATTGAGCGGAGGTACTAGGTGGCGCCAGCCTGGCTTATTTACATCGACAGTCTAGCGTAATAATAGATTTACTTCGGGTGTTTTGTGGAGTGATTAAGACTGTTTTTAGTGGCAGGATAACTATGGCCATTGACATGCACTAGTCTAGCACCAGTGACCTCTGCAAATACAAGGACTGGATGGAATATTTCAAAAACTGTCTCCACACATCTCCAATATTTTTAAAATGCCATATTGCCGATCAACCCCCATTTTCACAGCCACCGGCATACGGCCTATTTTTATTTTATTTTTTCTTAATAAGTGATACACGTAGGATTTGGCAGCGTTGCATAACATGCACAGATCACTCCAAATACATCTTCAAGAGGGTAAATGCAAGAGGGAAAAAATTGTAACATGGTTCAAAACTCTGAAAATGTTTGCATAATTCGTCTGCTTTAATCAGTATCACATGTCAAGCCCCCAGTTTTGGAAAAAAAAACTTGACAATTATAGTGTGTGCATACTAATTTTCTAAAACAAATGCACAAATTATTACATATCTGAATGTTAAATTGCACACAGAGATGTCATACTTGCGCGCTTCCTCTTTGTCATTACTGTCAACATCATGTGACGGCCTTTAATTACTATAAGGAATTATTGTTCAGTATTATAGATGGATCTCTCTTTTGGGTTCATTATTTATCGTTTGTACATTTTTTTTGCGCTAGTGGAGAATTTTTGGTTATTTTTTGCTTATATCATAATTTTTTGAGCTGTACAAAGTCTTAACTATGAGGCAAATTACATACAAAAGAGTTTCATTCTGCTGTTTATTTATTACAGCTCATGTTGATTTAAAGATGCATTGTGTAACTTCTCTGGTGAAGGGTTCTTCACCTGCTTGTTTCTATGGATATGTCATTTCTCTGCCTTGTAAGCAGCTCCACCTTACATTTATTCAATTATAGGTGCAGATCTGACCTGTAACTTGGTCTGATTTGGTCTCCATGTCAAGGGCGTAGGTTTGGTCTCAGCTTTGGTTTGATGCACACTGCAAAAACCAGACAGCACATGTTTATGAGAAAGGGTAAAATGGATAAGAAGTTGCGCATATGTTTTATGAATTCTTTCTAAAATCACACAGAGTCTGGGCAGGTCCAAAGTAAGTGAGAGGTGGTTTCATTTTTCATTTTGCAAAATGTACAGTTTGTGTCCATTGGCCTTCTGGCGGCACGGTGGCTGAGTGGCTAGCACTCATGCCTCACAGCAGAAGGTTCTGGGTTCGATCCCCGGGTCGCCCAGGCCTTTCTGTGTGGAGTTTGCATGTTTCTCCCCGTTCTGGATGGGTTTCTCCGGGTGCTCCGGTTTCCCCCATCAACCCAAAATGCTACATAGGTCTCCATAAACAGTTGATAGTCATGGTCAGTTAAATACAATCAATTCAATCATTGTGTCCTTAGGCAAGACACTTCACCCACATTGCCTAGTATGAAAGTGGTGTGTGTGTGAGTGCTGGTGGTGGTCGGAGGGACCGATGGCGCCGAGTGGCATGGCAGCCGCGCCTCTGTCAGTGAGCCCCAGGGCAGCTGTGGCTACAATAGTAGCTTACCATCATCAGGGTTTAGAGTGAATGAATAATGCTGTATGAATGAATGCTGTGTAAAGCGTCTTTGGGGACAGAAAATGTCTGTGAAAGCGCTATATAAATAAAGACTTTACTTACTTACTTACTACTTACTTCTAAAAGATGATTCTTAGCGGATAACAGCGGCAGTTTGTAGCAGTTTTCCCTTTGCTTGTTGTTGATGAGATATTTGTGAGGTAACGTCCAAATATTTTCCATGGAATATTGTCAGTAGAGTCCGGCTGCTCACAGTGCACGAGTTTGGCTCTGTTTGGGAGGTGCACTTGTAGTGATAGTCGCTCTTTTTCTGCGACGACTCATTATGAGGCAAGTTTAACTGAAGATGAAGCCAAGTAAGTTCCTTTTGAAAGGTTTTTCAAAGTTTGATGCAGGGTCTTCACTCACGCCTGCTCAAGACGCCATCTGCAGGTGCTGGTCCTGTCCTGCAGCTTCCACAGTTTAGGCTCCTTGCACCACTAATGACATCACTCTGTTGCAGCCAATGAAATAGCGGCATCTCAGAACATCTAATAAACAAAATGTGAACTAAAACATGTTAAATTAATACTATTGAGTTTGGAAAAATATCGGGATAATCGGGATTTATATTATTGTTTATTAAAATAAAATGGCAAATATGGGTGGGGACTATTTGTCTTCCTCAAATATTGGTTGTGACATGTCCCCATTGTCCCTATGTAAACCTACGCCCTTGCTCCATGTAGATAGAAAGGTTTAATGCCATACTGTGGAACATTCTAGACAAAGCAATAACATCTCCATGGAGAAAAATATAGACACAATGCACCTTTAACAATATTGTACATTTAGAATAGTTTTTGTGGTTTAAATCTGCTCTTCTATTATTGTGTCAGTCACATAAATTAGTTTCAATATTTTTTATCGTTTCTCCTTACTTGTTACATATCTGAATGTTAAATTGCACAGAGTTGTCATACGAGCATATGGCGCTTTCTCCATGTGATTACTGTCAACATCGTGGTCATGTGACGGCCATTTTTAGCCCGTGTGTTGTAGCAGGTCAGATTTCCGCAGACTTACACCTCGTCGTGTTGACATGCCAAAGACACATTCTACGTTGGGACTTAAACGCGTGAGAGTGTCTGTCTGTAGGGAGATTGCATGGTAAGATGGCCGCTAAAAGATTGTAGTCGCAAATGGTGTTGTCCAATTACTTGTTAATTGGTACTTGTTAATGGGTTTTGAAACCACAGTGATGATAATAAAACTTGTATTTATTGAAACAGAATGTAGTTTTCAAAGCAAAATGTGAGTAGTTTTTTTGTATTTTGATATACTTGCTGCAGTACAGAAATATTGTATTAGCAGCTCTTGAGATCAAAATAAGTCTGCTGTGTACTATCTCCATCTAATTTTGAAGTGTTTTATTTCCGGGCATCAGGAAGTGCACGTTTAGCATGCTAGCTATTGTCAGCATTACCATAGCAGTAAAGCTCAGTTCACAGTTTTGCTTCACAATTTATTTTACGCTGTATTTTGCTGTCATTTTAGAACTTTTTTGTTGTTGCTTGTATTACTGTGAACTGTCTGGATCTAATTTTAAAGCGGTTATGGTCAGAAATCAGAAACTGTGCCATTAGCATGCTAGTTGTTGTTAGCACTACCATAACAGCAAAAGTCAGTTCACAATTTTGCCTCACAATTTATTTTACGCTATATTTTGCTGTCATTTTAGAACATTGTTTTGCTTGTACTACCGTTAACTGTCTGCATCTATTGTCAGAGAATCAGAAACTGTGCCATTAGCATGCTAGTTGTTATCAGCATTATCGTGACAGCAAAACTCTGGGCTCTGAAAGTTCAATTCCCAATTTCAGCCTTACAGTCTTTTGCTTCTAAAATTCACACTATTCATTTATTTTATTTTTCTTTATTTTATTTTATTTAGTTATTATTATTATTATTATTTTTTTTTTTCCAGTTCATAATTTTGGCCTCATAATTTATTTTATGTTATTTTTATTTATTTATTTTTTGCTTGCACTGCTTTGGACTGTCTGCATCTTATCTTAAAGCGCTTATTGTGAGAGAATCAGAAACTGTGCCATTAGCATGCTAGTTGTTGTTGGCATTACCGTGACAGTAGAACTCTGGTGTCTGAAAGTTCTGTTCATAATTTTGGTCTCACAATTTCTTTTATGCTGTTTTGAGAAGATATTTTGTTTGTAAAATTTATACAGTTTCATTTTATTTATTTTTTTTGGCCACAAAATGTATTTTATATTGTTATATTTTGGTGTAATTTTAGAACATTTTTCCTTTAAAAAAAAAATCACCATTCACCATTTTTATTTTGTAGTTACTTACTGATTAACTAAATAATCTTGAAATCTCTAACTAATGAAAATGGAAATAGTTTATCTGACAATTTTTTCTCTCTTTCTTCTCTCCAGTACACAGGTCCGGTCCCGGGCGAGCGAGGGGGCGAGGCCATGGGGGGCGGGCGCACTGAGACCTCTGCTCTGAGCGGGACAGGAGGGGGGCGGGCCATCACCACTACCCATAATTCCCAGCGACCCAACGCCTGCTGCTTCTGCTGGTGCTGCTGCTGTAGCTGCTCATGGTACGACTCCCCTGTGTTTACCTGTGGGAAAGGAAATGTTCAGTTTAGTGTGACCGTTATTGTTGACTGGACACATTGGACACATAATTATTGTTTTGTATTTCACTGTCGTCGGCACAGTTCTTTCTGCAAGGCCTAATAAGCAATTTAAAATGTATTTTTTTTAGTTCATTATTAAAAGGGGCTCTATAATAAGACAAGCGCATTATTCATTCTCTCACTGCTCGGTGAGAGTAAACTTTTACTGTAAAGCAGTGGTGGAGTTAGCAATTTGGGGGCCGTAGCTGAACTTAAGTTTGGGGCCCTCACTATAATGCATTTTTGTTTTGTTTTGAGTATATTCATTTTCTGCTTTTCCCCATTGTTCTTGAGACATGCACATCTTTATTTACTTGAATTATGGTGGATTGGAAACTTAACCAGAACTGAAAGTAGTTTTATTTTTTTTCTAGTACAACTACATTTTTGTTTACATCCATTACATATGATTATTAGTATTTTTCTTATGATTATTGTTTAAAAGTAAAACTACTCCCATTTGATGACATATTGAGAGAAAATCAAATTGCTCTGAGGCTTCAGCCATTAGTGGCACTGAGGGCAAATTGGTTGGGGGCCCCTCCAGGTTTGGGGGCCCTAAGCAGCCGACTACTTTTGCCTGATGGTAGAGCCGCCTCTGCTGTAAACTCAGCTGCCCTGGGGTAGAACCAGAATCAAGGCTGCCAGTCTGCCCCATTGGTCCCTCCATCCAACACTCATACCCACACCAAAGTCATACTTGGTAATGTGGGTGAAGTGTCTTGCCTAAGAACACGGTCACACTGCTACTCCACTGTGGCACCTGATATTCCCAGTGGTCTCCCATCTAAAAATTAACCAGGTCCGGCCTTACTAAGTTTCCGAGATTATAAGGGCAAGAGGTGGCAGTAGCTCAGTTGGTGGAGTGTTTGTCCACTGATCCGAAGGTTGGTGGTTCGAATCTCGCTTTCAACATCAAACATCAGTGGTTGAGCTGTCAGATCAGGTTGACGGTGTGATTCCAGCTCCCACAGATTGTGTACTTGACCAAGACACTTAACCCACCTCGCCCCCAGTGTCTGCACACACTGGTGTATGAATGTGTGAATGTGGTTCCTTGTTGTAAAGTGCTGTGACCACCTTGAAGGTAGAAAAGCGCTGTATAAACGTGTGACCATTTACCATAATATCTCCACTGACATAGAGTTATTATGGATTCCCCCAGGAATGGATGGAAGTTCTTTTGCTTAAAGCTGTTGTCGACTAAAGACATAGTTGGTCGACTAAAAAAACTTGTCCTGTGTATCAATTTATAGACTTAAAGGAGGGGTTCCAACAATAGCTCTCAAAATGATTAAGAAACCTATATGTATATTTGGAGAAGTACTAATAAACTACATCTTCATAAATGACAAAGAGGATTAAACTGACCAGTCACCTCCAAAAACTCGCGCTAACCCACTCCATGCTTTTCCCTCTTGGCTGCTGTCCGCATGCATCCATACAATCCTAATAAAATAGAAATGTGGTTGAGAATCAGGATTACAGACCAACCTTGATTTATTCCAAAATGTATAAATTGTCTTTCTTTTGCTTTACTGTATCAAACTCCCACCCTTATGATCTTAAATTCCACTGACATAAAACATGCAATATTTCCTCAAACAATAAACAACATTCATTTGGCACTGTGACTTTGTTCTGATTTTATTGTGCGTCTGAGCATATACAGTCGAGTGTGTGAGTGTTCATGTCTGAAAGCCCTTTTATCATGTCAGTGTCACTTTCAGGAACGAAGAGGAACGCAGGAAACGGAGGAGGAGGAAGAGGATATCACAGGACACAAAGATGGAGACCATACCAAACTGTGAAGCTTGGTGAGTCACACATCTCTAAGATAAACTGGTTGAATCAAACTGAAGTGAGGGACACGTAGAAATGTTGCCAACTATGTCAACAAACCCAATAATTATATCTGATTTTTGTTGTGTGTTTATCTTGCACAAAAGAAATCTGATCCTCAAAAACACCTAATGATATGTCAGTTCATCCACAAATGTTTTATGTAGTTACTGTTGTATCTTTTAAAGGTGCATTGTGTAACTTTTCATGTGCTTTTCTCCATAGAAATGTTATTGCTTTGTCTGGAATGTTTCACAGTATGGCATTAAACCTTTCTATCTTCAAGGAGACCAAACTAGAGAAATTTACAAGTCACATCTGTGGAGAGACAACCCTGAATGCCTGAATAGTCCGATGAGGTTAATTTGGTCTTCCGATAATTTGATTTTATAGGTCAAAAATACCTCAAAAAAACAACAACAACAAAAAAAACAGGTATTCAGGGTTAATGTTATTAGGTTCTTTTTTCAGACCAAGAGTTTGTTTTCATACCTGACAGTTTGGAATGCTCACTCGCGGTCTTCCTCAAAGTCTTGTGATGTTGCTGTGACGTGTCCACTCAGCTGATTTAAACAGGTTTTGGCGCTGTTTTCTTACTGGTGGAGGCCGGAACGACAGCGTCATCTGCAGTCCGACCTCCTCAGGACAGTATTCCGGGTGTGTGGGAGTAAAAAAGCCCCCTCGTCCCGGGTTATAGTCCCTTGGGCACGTTTCCGTATTTCGATTGCCCCTTTAATCCTGTCCCAGTGATGTTTGCTCCATCTCAAACATCATTGAACCGGGACGAGGGGGCTTTTTTACTCTCACACACCTGGGATACTGTCGTAAGGAAATCAGACTGCAGATGGCACTGTCATCCTGCCTCCACCGGTAAGAAGACAGCGCCAAAACTTGTTTAAATCAGCTGATCGACACGTCACATTAACATCACGTGACTCTGAGGAAGACTGCTGGTGAACAGTCGAAACTGTCAGATATGAAAACAAACTCTTGGTCTGAAAAAAGAACCTAATAACCTAAACCCTGAATGCCTGATCTTTTTAGGTATTTTTGAGCTATAAAACCACCTGTAATTGAAAAAAAATTTATAGTAGAGCGGATGGGTGGAGAGTTCCTGCCTCAGGAGGAGGAGTTCAAGTATCTCGGGGTCTTGTTCACGAGTGAGGGGAGGACGGAGCGTGAGATTGACAGGTGGATCGGTGCAGCGTCTGCAGTGATGCGGTCGCTGTATCAGTCCGTTGTGGTGAAGAGGGAGCTGAGTCAAAAGGCGAAGCTCTCGATTTACCGGTCAGTCTACGTTCTCACCCTCACCTATGGTCATGAGCTCAGGGTAATGACCGAAAGGACAAGATCGCGGATACAAGCGGCCGAAATGAGTTTCCTCCGTAGGGTGGCTGGGCGCTCCCTTAGAGACAGGGTGAGGAGCTCTGTCATACGGGAGGAGCTCAGAGTAGAGCCGCTGCTCCTTCACTTTGAGAGGAGCCAGTTGAGATGGCTAACCCAAGGGATGTCTGGGAGTCCCTGCTTGGACTGCTGCCTCCGCGACCCGGCCCCAGATAAGCGGAAGAAAATGGATGGATGGATGGTATAGTAGAGCTGTTTAATGTCATACTGTGGAGCAATTGAGGCAGAGCAATGATATATCCATAGAAGGAATGATGGATCACCAACCAAAAAGTTACATAGTGCACCTTTACAATAGCTCTTTCAATCTTTAAAGTGGCACGAAACACCTAAACTCACCCCAAAACAACATTTCAAATAGTGCAGCTAAACTGGGCAGTACCTGGGGGACTGAATAAAAGAGTGAGGGAGGAGTGGAGGGCGGGGTCTGGACATATAAGTAACAGTGTGATTGGTCAAACAGGTATCCACACTTCAAACTCTGCCCCTGCAGCCACGTGTTTGTAATCAGAAACACTTTGCTGTAATCAGGGCAGTCCTGTAGTACTTAACATTGCAGTGGTCAGTGGAGGCAGCATACAGTCAGTATTTGCATTAAAATTGACCAAATGGACAAGTTAGTATTAATAAATATGCAGAATAGCTCCAAAAAGTTGATTTACTGTTTCGTTCCACTTTAATATTATCGCTCTAGTTTTAAATTTCCTTGTCCAAACCTGCACAGATGTGACAAATCAGAAATAAATCAGATTACCATATCAGATGTAACTGTTTGAATGACATTTCCATAATCTGATAACTCCAAAAATCAGACAAATGACGATTAAAATTCACTCTGGCCTTTGAAAGTTGTGGAAAGTGTTCATAAACTGATCTTGAAAAGGAATGTGTTAAGAAAGTAAGGAACAAGTTTGGACTACGACAGATGATTTAAAATGATCCTTAAGCTATTTTCTGAGCTATGTTAGAATGTTGTTTCCTCATCACAAACATGCCTGGAGTTGTGTTTTTTATTTCATTCTGGTCCACCTTGTGATGTCATGTGGTGATACAGCACGTGCTCCACTGTGTTTCTAAACTCCATACACCTTCAATAGAATCATTTGGATGATTTTGGCCCATTTCTACTGAACAAAAGGTAAAAGTTAGCTGTTAATTTGAAAACTACCACTTCATGATCTCACAAGGTGGAACAGAGCAGTTTGAGCTTTGGAGATATCAGAGGTGTAGTTTTTGACTTGGACTCGAGTCAGACTTGAGTCACTATTTTTAGGACTTGAGACTTGACTTGATAAAATGAACTAAGACTTGGGACTCGACTCGGACTTGAAGGTCTGTGACTTGGGAAGACTTGATGCGTCTCCTAAAAAATGTATGTTTTTAGAAAATGCTTTTCTCTTTACAGTTGATAAATGTGGTGCTTCATTTTATAGAAACAAACTGGAACATGTCACTGTCACTTTTGTTTGTTACTTTGGATGTAACCGAAGTACTGTGATGTAGTATCCTCAAATGTACTACAGTAATATACAGTACAATACAGTAAAACAGGGAACTACAGAAAACATGATCCTTCCATTTCAGTGCAGACTACATGACAAAATATTAAGCACTCTTAAATCTGAATTCTTTCTATTCTGACCATAATGATTCACACCAAGACCTTGACAAGACATTTAAAAAAGAAACATTTTCATTTCTACAACTCATATAAATATAAATTCTCATATATAAATATACCATGACTTTTTAAGTACAGTTTAGTTTAAAATTCATATAAATTGCAAAAATCTAAGCTATAGTTGGTACTTTGGTTTAAAGACTTGAAATGACTTGAAGCTCAAAACAGACGACTTGAACTTGACTTGGACTTATGGGCCAGTGACTCGAGACTCGACTTGGACTTGCCTGTATTTGACTTGGGACTTGACTCGGACTTGAGGTCAAAGACTTGAGACTCGATCCCACCTCTGGGAGATATAAACAGACTAATAATAAAGAGTTACTCAAACGTGTGAATGAAACAAAACAGCAAAACACAACTCCAGGTCTGTTTTTCAGGAGATAACAGCATTATAACATGGCTTAAACCTCACATGAGTCAATTTTGTGTAATATAGGACCTTTAACTGCATTAGAAAAGTAAAGAACAAGTTTGGACTGCTGCAACCTGTTTAAAATGGTCATACTAAATTCTTTAACTAGTTCTGTTTTTCATGTTATCAAAAGAAATCAGACAAATAGCAAAACTCAGGTACTGCCCCTTTTAATTACAATCTTCATTTTTTTCCTCAGCACCAAACCATCAGTGGAGGAGATGCGCCTTTGGTCCCAGTCTTTTGATAAACTGATGAAGAACCCGGCCGGTCGAAACGTGTTCCGGGAGTTCCTGCGCACAGAGTACAGTGAGGAGAACATGCTGTTTTGGTTGGCCTGTGAAGACCTCAAGCAGGAGATGAACAAAAACACCATCGAGGAGAAGGCCCGCTCCATATACGAGGACTACATCTCCATACTGTCCCCCAAAGAGGTACTGTAGTCTGCGGGAGTGGTGGTGTGGGTGTGAGGGCGAGAGGAGCGACTTTTGGCAGAACTTTTGGACTGTTTAGACTCTCTCAATCAGTGTTTATCTTTTCTACATGTTTACTACTTTCTACATTCTTTATATATAGAGAAGACATCACTTCAAAGTAGCCACCCTTTGCTTCGTTGACAGTGTTGCAAAACCCTTTCTCTTAGGCTACGTTTACACTGAAACGAATCACCGTATCGGAAAGGATTTGCATCCAGACACGTTGTTTCTGTGTCAGCAAGAGTTCCCTAGCCAAACAGCTTTGAGCATATTTGTTTACATTTTACGGAAACTAAACTTAAAACCGCATTGCTAATTTGCATAAACTAAGCTCTCGAAAAACAGCTCGATATTGTGCGTTGATGCGGTTCAGCTTCTGTCAGACTAAAGGACACGACTCCGTAGAATATGAGTGTTCTTTCTGTGACAGAGGGGTGTTCTGCTGATTGTGAGTCTCTTCTGTGCTTCAATCGCATTGGAGATGGTTCATGTTAAACTTTTCAGAGATTATACGTCTGCAGGTCGTACGCACAGACCGTATATATGAATGGACATATATTCCAGTCTCTTTGGCGGTGAATTACTTCGTGGCGCGTAGACCTACATCAATGTTTTCAGGCGTCCACACAGCGCCAGATCAGATTCATTCTCAGATGAATTTGTGGGAGCTGGCGGCATCGTTCTGTCTCTGGGGCCGTTTTCCATCGGATTAGTGTGAATGAACTCTGCATCCGCAACGAAAACGACTCTTAATACATACTAGTGTGGATGGGGCCTTAATGAGCTTCATGGTGAATTCTCCTGAAATTGTTTCCACTTCACAGCTGCGCCTTGTCAGGGTCAAAAAATGCTTTGAGTGCAAAGCCGTGATCAAAACAAAGTTATTTTGAGTTTATTTTTCATTCACTACATTCCATACGTGTCCATTCATAGCTGATGCCTTCACTGAGGGACGACAATGTAAATAATTTTCCAAAAGATGTGTCCAAACTTTTGATTGGTAGTGTATTTCAATGTTACTGTTATTGAAAGAAGAAACATTGGAATTAAACCATGACTGAGGATAACACGAACGACAATTTACATCCACACACTTTTTCAAAAAGGCACTTATCAATGTAAATATATGTATTTTTTAACATGGAGGTGGTAAACAATTGTAAGGTATGATGGTGCACAGTAAATATTTTGATAAAGTGTGTGTACCATTTTAGATCCATGTTCTAAACTTTTTTAATTACCTGGTGAATCCGTGTATCATTTGTTTATTCAGTTTTCAAAATAAAACCATAAATAAGAAAACGAAAAAAAAACAACAATTATTATTTTTTTTATTATGTGTCTCCAAAACCAAAATGAAAAAAATAATAACACGAATTTGTGCTTTCAGTTTTTGATTTTGTGTTTAAATGAATAATGGAAAAAATAGATAAACTTTTGTTTCCGTTAAACTGTGATGCCGGAGTTTTGCACCGCGTACTGACTGAACCAGGACTAAATTAAGACTAAAATATGTCTAAACCAGTTCAAAACTTGGTCTAAACCGGTCTTAATCCCAGTCTGTTCCCGGTCTCACTCCTGGTTTAGCCCTGGTCTCAGGCATAAACCAGGAATGAACCAGGACCAAACCAGGACTGAACCAAAAGACCAGGACTGAGACCAGGACTGAGACTGATTTAGACCTAGTTAAGTACTGGTTTAGTCCTGGTTCAGTCCGGCATTGCAGTTTAAGTCACGGAAACGGGAAACAGCCGTTATCCGTTTTTGTCCATTATTAATTTAAACACAAAATCGAAAACTGAAAAAATGAATCGTTATCTTTTTTTTTCTTTCATTTTGGCTTTGGCAACAAATAATGACGGAAATAGTTTTTTTTTTTTTTTCATTTTGTTATTTTTGGTTTTATTTTGAAAAAAGAATGAACGAATGATACTCGTATTCTTCTGCATGTACGTAACTTTAACTTTAAACATAATTTGAGGATTCACTTTCAGCCAAGTCATTTGCAATTAATACTGTAACACTTAGAAATAGTATAACATTATATAAATTTGCTTCCACCTTTTTTCAACATTGCAGAGAATGCGATACACGATTGTGTGCGTGTTGCCTTCTACTGGCGACATCGGGGAATGACAACGTGGTTCTGATTTATAGATGCACTGGCCTGAAAGCATTTCAAACTGCCTGATAATGTCAAGATGATGAACACATATCAGATATTTAACCTTTTCCTAACCTGCCCATGCCGTACCCGGTCCTCACGAGAGCCCATCTAAGAATACCTGACTCAGTGACAGTTTGACCCTCGCGCTGACCCCGAGAACATGAGCTCTTTGTCCAGTGTATTCCAGGCCAGTGTGTGCTACTGGGTTATTTTTACTGCCTCTCATCACAGCAACCTGTATTTGGACTTGTCACATGCCATAACATTAGAGAGGGGATTTTCACGTACACTTATCTGTATGAGCGCTGTGGACTATAGTAGGGCTCTGTACAGGAACCAGTGAATTCCTCTCCTCCTCTCGCCGTCTTCTCTGGGCTTATTATAGTTTACAGCATAGTATAGGCCCGGGTATGGACAGATAGGAGAGGCCATTGAGCCTCCCTGAATTGCTGAATTATCTAATTGTACCTATATATCTTGTAACAGGTGGTACTGAAGACAGGGGGTCCGCGTGTTCTCCCCCAGGAAAACCGTCATTTCCTGTCCTTGCCAGATTGAGATGTGTAGCCCCCTGAATAGACTTTTACACATCAATCCTGGATGACTCTCACTCAAATCGATCGCAACCAGTCATTGGAAGATTTAAACAAATGCTTCATGCTGATTGGTCAAAGCGTCACAACAGCAGAACAAGTTAGAAAATCAAACTAAATCCAGTAGAGAGAAAAGAACAAGCGTCTTAACCTTGACAAATACACAAAACTCTTCCCTCTGCATGTTTTCATAACCAGTGTTGGGAGTAACATGTTATAAAAGTAACGAATTACTGTAATGCGTTGTGTTTTTGCTGTAACAGTAATTTAAGGCATTACAGGGGAAAAAATTTGTAATATTTTGTTGAGTACAAATATCAGTAACACCCGTCTCAATGCTTTTTTAACCTGGATTGAAGTGGTTCGTTTTTCATTTTTCTTTATACAAATTTGCTAAAATCAACACGATATCAGCAGCGGTGAAACGCCATTGTTACGGTTCCAAGTGTCGGGACGGGCCTGGAGGTGCGCCCATGTAGACCGTTGGGTGACCGCGAGCAAAGACCTGGTTTAGTCCTAGTTTAGCCCTGGTTTAGACCTGGTTCAGTTCTGGTTTAGACCTGGTTCAGTCCTGGTTTAGTCCTGGTTTAGACCTGGTTCAGTCCTGGTTCAGCTCTGACTTAGTCCTAGTTTTGTCCTGGTTTAGACTTAGTTTAGTCCTGGTTCAGTCCTGGTTCAGACCTGGTTCAGTCCTGGTTCAGTCCTGGTTCAGTCCTGGTTTAGACCTGGTTCAGTTCTGGTTCGGTTCTGGTTCAGTTCTGGTTTAGTCCTGGTTCAGTCCATATACGTCGCAAAAGTTCATCATCTTTGCAGTTATTTTGTTGAGAGTAACTTAAAGTGCTGTGATAGTCGTGCAATGTCTCACATTTTAAACACAGTAATATTGTAATGTAACAAATTACTTTGAAACGACAGTAACAAGTCATAAATAACACATTACAGTTTTGAAGTCACTTGCCCAACATTGTTCATAACTAAATATTTCTGCTAAAATATTCCAAAGTACATTTGGTTTGTTCTACTGGCATTCGCCCAAACCACAATGCTGCCCTGTGATTGGCCAGCCTCGACCTATCAAAAGCAAAATGATGGATTCTCAAGAGTTTATGAACTCTCAAAAATTGTGAGAATCCAATTTGCTGCCAAGGTTAGAAATGTATTGTAACTTAAGCTATTTTAGATGAACAGAATGGAGAACAAATATTATGGTGAAATTCAAAGCACTTACACTTACACAAATGGTATAAATATTTGTTAAAGGCGCTGTACTGGATTTTTACTGCATGTGCGGTGTGGACTGAAGTAGGCCTCTGCACAGGAAGCAGTGAATTCCTCCTCTCATCTTCTCTGTTCTTTTTATAGTTTATAGTGTCGTATGGGCCGGGTATGGACAGATAGGAGAGGTGTGATTTTGGCAGCGTGCCCTGGTGTCTGGTGACCTTGGGATCCAGTCTGCTATCTCTCTCTCTCTTTCATGTTCCCCTCTTGCTTCCTGTCTTTTACTCTTTTCTTTCTTACTTGTCGTTCCTATCTGTCTCTCCTCTTTCTCACTCACTCCTGTGTTTCTATGACTATCTATCGCTCAACTTATCTTACTCGCTGACTCCTCTGTTCCCTTCTCCTCATAATCTCTCTCCTCTTTCTCTTTCTCTCTCCATCCTCAATCTACCTCTTCCACTATCTACCTTGTCCTTCCCACTAGGGCTGAACGAGTTTAAGAAAAAATTAAATTGCGATTTTTCTGGCAGAGATTGCGATTTCGATTTCATCCATGATTCTTTTCAAATCAAGTTTCAGTGCACATGAGCATTTGCAAACATCACAGAAACTTACATCATACCAGAGTCCTGCACCGACGATTTGATGCTGGACCGTAAAGCCCAATTTACGCAGACAATAAGGGCTGTGATTGGTCCATTTGGTCCATTTCTTGTACTCTGCTTTAATTTCTTTCAGTATACATTGAGTAATAATGTGTTTAATGCAGGCTTTGCGCACATTCGTTTACATTTTACAGAAACGAAACTTAAAACCACATGGCTAATTTGCACAAACTATAAGCGCTGAAAAAAACTGCTCGCTCCTTGTGCTGCTGATGCGGTCACCTTCTGTCGGATTAAAGGACACGACTCAGTGGAATACGAGTGTTCTTTCTGTGACAGAGAATGTTCTGCTGATGGTGAGTCTGTTCTGTGCTTCAATCGCGTTGGAGATGGTTCATTTTAAACTTTACACGAACAGCAGATATAAATCCTCGCCTCCTAGCTTTGTAGCTCGTCGCACACCCATAAACCAAAAACGATGGCGACAAGGCGATGGCGGCAGTGTGCGATGAGTCGACGCAGAACTAAACTTCGCCTTTAAATTGGGCTTTAGAAGCAATGCGAAAAAACGCGGCTTTGACTCTCCCAAAATCGTGCTGTTTGACATCACGATTTTTGGTTCAAAATGATAGATCATACCATACCATTATTTATAAAGCACTTTAAAAACATTACAGCTGGCCAAAGTGCTGCATACAAACACAGGATAGACAATAATGATCACAGTACAACACAATACACAATACAACTACTAAAAAACATAGAAAAGAATAAGATACTCCACAACAAGAAATGTACATGTCACTTGTAAAAATCCAGTGAAAAAAGGTGCGTTTTTAGGAGTGATTTAAAAACGGGTACAGACTCAGCTTGTCTAATCTCTAATGTCGACTGGTTCCACGGCCGCAACAGATCGTTCAGCCCTACTTCCCACTGTTGCAAATATGATAGTAACTACAATTTACATCTTGCTATTAGGGATGTAACGATAACCAAAATATTGTAATATCTTATCGTCAAAAGTCTTACAATAATAATAATGGGCCATCACAATATACCGAATTACTTAAGTCACTTTGCTTAAATTTATTGTTATGGTATTGTTATAAAAATACACACAAAGGAAACTACATAGACCATAATGCTTTGCTCAGTTTAAGTATGAAGAAATAACTGTTCATAACCATTTTTGAATGTTTATTCTTGTCTTGTGAAGGCAATTAAAAAAGAAGAAGTAGTATATTCACCATGTTCACAAAATGTCACAGTAAATATTGTACCGTGAGATGCATATCGTGAAAATATTGTACAGAGAGGATTTGGATATCGTTACATCCCTGCTTGCTTTATAACCACAAATAACATCATTTTAATAATATTCTTTTTAGCTCCTCCCATCTGTATTAACTATGAATGACTTGTTATGTCATCTGAAACCTCGCAATACTCTTCATTCAACTAAACCATTCCCCTGTAGGCAGTTCAGAGTTCTTAATAGTGACACAATGACATGTATTGAAACGAGTGTGTGGATTCCTCAGAGCACAAAGGTCATGAGATCAACAATATGTCTTTTTGTGCAGAGTTCAAGCTTGTGCATCCACCACATGCTCGTAATGCTTCTCTTATCATACCCTGTCCTCCTCCCACCTTCCAAAGAAGCTCGTGTTGAGGTGAAACTGTCTCAGATTGCCTCGAGGAGTTACCAGACTTCACTGCGTTGGGTAGGGTTGTCAAAAGTATCAATTCATATATAGATACTAATCGATATTGAAGCTAGTATTGAATCTAGATGTTCATTTGAGCAGGTATCGATGCTAAAGAAGCTTTCCTGAATTGCTTTCAAAAGATCTTGAGCTGAATCAGAACAAGTATAAGGCTACGTTCAGACTGCAGGGCTTAATGCTCAATTCAGATTTTTTTTGTGGAATCCAATTTCTTTTGCAAGGTCGTCCACATTTCCAATTAAATGTGACTTGTATGTGATCTCCAGTGTGAACTTTAAACACCCCTAATGTGTCCCGCATGCACATTGGATCACACGATGACATCATAAGGACGTCGTTGTGTCCTCCAAAAAGGAAAAGCGAGTGTTTACAGAAGTCGCCTAAACATGAACATGAGCATTGAGCACCTGGAGATTTTAAAGTTGCTATTGGACCGGAGCCAGAACATGAACATTTGTTTTAAGGAGGAGATTGAGAAGGAGAAGGACGAGGTTTTTGGCCGTGGTGTTTTGTGGCACCGACGTTCGTAGAAAGGTGGGTGCGGAGACGCAGCTAAGAGCGGTGGGATTGTGATGTGCTTCACTGCTTCACTGACACGGAGTTCGTACACAATTTTTGGATGACGAGAAGAACGTTTGTGTACATTTGTGACGTGTAGGTGGGATGAATGCGACCTGGCCGTTCAGACTGAAGTCGCATGTCAAAAGATCAGATATGTATCGGTTTCTGGAGCACATATCCAAGTGGCCTGGGTTGTATTTGAAAAAATCTGATCTGTGTCATTCAGACTGTCATTAAAAGATCAGAAACATGTCACATAGGGGCGGAAAAATTGGATTTGGGTCACTTCAGGCTGCAGTCTGAATGTAGCTTAAGAGCACATAGACTAGTATACGCCCATGGACCACTTACCTGAACCACTGAGGGACTGCACAGATATAAGACCACATAGTAATCTAGAAGAAACTACCATTATATCATGTTGAAAATGACGTTGTATTGTCTAAATAGTTTTTGTTTTTTTAAATTATCATTGTGGTATCGGAATCAGTATTATCTATTGAGTCTATTCCTTAATACTGAAATTGAGTTTGACATTTTAGTACTTGAAAAACACTAACATGGGGTAGGCTAAAGAGTGTTGTAGATATTAGACCATTGAGGATTCCTGAACTGTATTATCTAATTGTATCTCTCAGGGGGAGTCTTGGTGATCTCCCCCAGGAAAATTTGAAGAAAACCATCATTTCCATGGGAACACGAACAGTAAATTTGATCACATGTTCCTGAAAATGTGTGGTTTAGATCAGTTTTGTATTTTTTCTTGAGTTTTCAGACTATCTTAAACCTTTTTTGGCTATGTTTGCTCATGTGCGCTTTGTGTAGCCATGGTAACAGCTAAGCATTTCACCACAGACATGCATATAAAACCAACCACCATGATGTCACTGCAAAGTATCAATATTTATGCTTTAGGGTTGTCTCAGTAACAAAGTTTCAGACTACATGCATTTTTATTGCTCCTTTTATCTTTAGTTCAGCAAAGACTGAAAATTCCAGAGCTGAAATATTATTTTATTTATTTATTCTATTAGTTTCTTTATGGTTGAAACTTAATTCTGTTGATTTTTTTGGAAAACGCAATGGAGCACTTCCTGTGTTACCCTATGACTTCACAAGGAGGAACAGTGTTTTCCATTTGAAAGAAGAACTCAGCCTAAATACGCAAAGTTTGTGTGTTAAACATGAAACAAAACACAACTCCAGGTCTGTTTGTTTGTGATGAGGGAACAACATAGATCAGAAAATAATGTAATACAGGTTCTTTAATGCTTGGATATTTTTGGTCTAATTCCTCATCTTTCGGTGTGTTCCTCAGGTGAGTCTGGATGCCCGGGTGCGAGAGGTGATCAACAAGAAGATGCAGGAGCCAACGCCGCACACATTTGAAGACGCCCAGCTGCAGATCTACACTCTAATGCACAGGGACTCCTACCCACGCTTCCTCTCCTCCAGCATCTACAAGTCCCTGGTCCACGGGGGCTCGCGGACCTCCTCAGAGTCCTAGTCCCCAGTCCAAGTCCTGGTCCTGGTCGGGATCTAGACTTTAGCTCCCTACGTTCACTCCTGCAAGACTGATCACACAGCTTCTAGAAGGTTCTGAAACACTCCTAGATTTTCACCCCTTCTTTTAAATGTTTGGAATTTTAGAATATGAAATTTGCCCTTAAAGTCTAGTCACCAGTCATGTTATATTAGCGTTCAGATGTATTTTTTTGAAAACCCCTAAAAGTGTTGATTTTCATTCTATTCTTATTTTCCATACAATGCAATACCCAGTGCAGTATTGCTCAAAAGTGTCTCAAAAATCTATTGTTTTGACTCTACAAACCAATATCTAAACTTCTAAATTGTATAGATTATTTAAGATGACAGTACTGAATCAAACTGCAGTATGTCACATGACTGTTAGTACTAGTACTAAACTTGCAGTATTTCAGCAAAACTGCTATAAAATTATGTCGTATTAAAGGTGCACTGTGTAACGTTTCTGATAGGTGGATCCTCTACCTGAACGTCTCCGTGGAGATGTAAAGCTATGCCTGGAATTTTCCATGTTTGTCATTACTGATACTTTGCAGCTCATCATCAACACTCTCTGGGTGTGTGAAGCTAACTGAAAGCACTGCTCTGTTAGACGCTCTGTTACTCAAATTAAAATTATTATTCAGAGCAGTATTTTTAACAAAATCTGACCAGAAATTGTTGACTTGATTGGAACATGTGAACCAATGTGTGCATTGTGTCACTATGGTGTGTAAAACCCCTCAGTTGTCCAGGTAGAATCCATGGCAAAAGGAGAAATTCAATTTGTCAACTGGACAAAGGTTTATTTGGTCGACTGTTTCGCAGCTCATCCAAGCTGCTTATTCAGTTCAGTTCTTCAATCCAGAGGTGTGAAAGCACCATTATGGCCCTGAATGATTCTGCTAATACGACCCCACACTCAGTGCAGTTCAATAGGCCCAACTAACTAAAAGAAACTGTAAACGGGTGGGTGTGTTAGTTTCAGAGTAGTTTCAGTGTAGCTATCTCCTCCCTTCAGGCAGATATAAGGAAGTGTCCACCAGTGTCTGACCAGAACTGAAGAAGCAGCTTAGATGAGCAGCAAAACGTATTTGACCAAATCAACTTTTGTCCAGTTGACAAATTGAATTTCTCCTTTTGCCGTTGTGTCACCATAGTAACTGCTGAACATTCCACGATAGAGATACATGTATACAGTGGCAGAGATAGCAATTGGGAGCCCTAGGCGAACTCAAGTTTGGGGCCCTCACTATAATGCACAATATAATGCATCATTTATTATCTGTTTTTCCTCATTGTTCTTGAGACGTGCACATCTCTATTTATTTGAATTATGGTGGATTAGAAACTTCCTAGAGCTGAAAGTAGTTTTATTTTTTGTTACTACAATTACATTTTTGTTACGACTCTCATTTAATGTCATGTTGAGAGAAAATCAAATTGCTCTGAGGCCTCGGTGATCAGTGGTACTGAGGGCAATTGGTTGGGAGCCCCTCCAGGTTTGGGGCCCTGTGTAGCTGCCTCTTTTGCCTAATGGTAGCACCACCTCTGCATGTGGAACACCCCGATCTTGATGTCACTGCAAAGTATCAATACTTAGAGCTCAAAACATGCACTCTTACTGTGACGTGATCTGACTTGTAACTTGAGGTAGTGGTGTCTCCTACTTGTCTCCATGGAGACAGATAAGTTTAATGCCAGGTGATGGATTATAGTTCAGAAAAGTTGCACAGTGCATCTTTATGTTATAACTAATAGTTAGGACAGATCTAAATCCGTGTATCATTCGTTCATTCATTTTTCAATATAAAACCAAATTTAAGAAAACAAAAAAACAACTGTTTACTTCATTATTTGTCTCCAAAACCAACATGAAAAGAATGGATAACGATTCAGTTTTTCAGTTTTCGATTTTGTGCTTAAATGAATAATGAAAACAAAAAAAACAGATAACGTTTACGTGACTTTAACTGTGATGCCGGACTGAACCAGGACTAAAACAAGACTAAACCAGGACTAAACCGTTTTCAATCCTGGTCTCAGTCCTGGTCTGGTCCCAGTCTCAGTCCTGATCTGGTCCTAGTTTCAGTCCTGATCTGGTCCTAGTCTGGTCCCGGCCTCAGTCCCGGTCTCAGTCCTTGTCTCACTCCTGGTCTCAGTCCTGGTCTCAGTCCCTGTCTGGTCCAGGATCTGGTTTAGTCTGGTTTAGTCCTGGTTCAGTCTGTATGCAGCGCAAAAGTCCGGCTTCATAGTTTAAGTCACGGAAACGGGAAACGGCCGTTATCCATTTTTTCCATTATTCATTTAAACACAAAATCGAAAACTGAAAAAACAAATCGTTATCTGTTTTTTTTCATTTTCTGTTTTATCTGTTTTGGAGACAAATAATGAAGAAAGTAGTTGTTTTTTTTCATTCTCTTTTTTTTGGTTTTATATTGAAAAATGAATGAATGAATGACATACGGATTGATCGAGTTATTGCATCTATCTTGCATATAAAATCCAGTATCCATTTTTTATAAACCCTTGAACCGATCAGTATACTTTCACTGCCTCAAAACGATCCCTTGCGGACATCCTCATAACTTATTATTAACGTTTTATTTTGGGAGACGGTCCTTGAATTTCACTGGGAGAAAACGGAAGATGCATCTGTGCCATGGATTCTACGCGAATTCCAACCCACCAATCACCTTTAAGAGATTTGGTCAGTGGTGGACAGGCTCCGCCCACTTTCTCTCTCGCCTTATTTTATGAATGGTCATTTTTGGGACATGTACGAACAATTTGTCATTCCTTTTTGTGATTTTTTCATATTTCCGTAACTGGAAAACTCACAGGGTGCTCATCCATTTCCCTTTACTCAAAAACAGCAAAAAGTTTTTATTTTGAGTTTTTAGATTTTTTTTTTTTTTACTTTTTTTTTTTTTTTTTGGCTGGAGAGAACCACACAGACTATTGGATGGATTCAACTTCCTTCCGACTACTGATTTACAAAAAAGGACATCTATTTTTTAAAGGAAAACTATTATATGTGACAATTGAATAATATTTACGTTTTAGTTTGTTTAATTTTTGTTTCTCCCACTCTCCAATTCCTGGATTTTTTATTTTTTTTTTTATTTTGTTTTTTCGCCAGAATCAAAAAGACTTGTGAGAAATTGTACTGATTTTCATTGAACGCACCAAACACGTCGCAATAATCACTGGAGCTTACGAAAACATACACTCTTACTTGTGTTACTGTACTCAATGGCTACAATTTGATTTAATTGAACATTTTTTGAAACAATTACACAATATTATATTTATTTTATTATGTGCTGCAGTGCGTTAAGCGTTCACCCACTTAACCAGATGGTAACAGTTGTGGTTACCCAAATTGACAACAAATAAGACCATTCTTTGATTCAAAATGTAGAAAATATTACAATTGATTGTGGTAATTGTCATCTGAAAATAGTTAATCTTGCAATATACATTTTTTTTTTCACTTTCATCGGTACTTCTAATAGTTTTACTGCTTTGACTACTACTGAAAAGAATTACAATCCACTGTGGACCCTTTAAAAAGCTGTAAACAAAAACTAAATATCGTAATGGAGGCAACTGGAGGCAAAAGTGAAGTAGAACATGATGTGATTTCAAAGGGAAAACCCGAATTAATGATTACGGAATATCACAAAATATGAAAAGTCAAGGGGAATTTCCTCAAAAGAAAACCTCTGGGATCCACGTGAATGATCAGATCCTGGTTTGGAAACATTTACAATTGTGTTTGACCTTATTTTTAAGAAGAGATACACACAGAGAGACACTCATATTTATACACAATTCAGATTTTTATTTTTTATTTTTTTGGACATTCCTTACAGAAAAAACTGAGTCCACTACAGTTTGTCACTTCATCTACAGAAATATTACACATTTCATCATAAATTACTTTACTTTTTGTGACGCTCAAATATAATTTTGAGGTTAGAAAACAGTATTTTTCCAGCCCTGTTAACAGAGAAGCAAAGTAACTTAATATGTGCACCATGGGAATTCAAAACGTGTTTATTTTTTGTTATAATGTCCGATCCAATCCACTTTATTTATACAGAATAGCACATTTCAGAAACAAGACTGTTTCCAAAGTTTAATGAGATTCATTTGGTCTTCTGATATTTTATGTTATTAGGTTCTTTTTTCAAACCAAGAGTTTGTTTTCATACCTGACAGTTTTGACTGCTCACTCATGGCCTTCCTCAGAGTCACGTGATGTTGCTGTGACATTGCCTCTTTAATCCAGCAGCGATGTCTGTTTTCCTCTGTGATGGAGCAAACATCATTGGGACAGAGAAAAACAAACATCGCCGCTGGATTAAAGAGGCAATCAAAATACGTAAACGAGCCCACGGGACTATAAACTGGGACGAGGGGGCTTTTTTACTCTCACACACCTGGGATACTGTCCTGAGGAAGTCAGACTGCAGATGGCGCTGTCGTCCTGCCTCCACCTGTAGGAAGACAGCGCCAAAACCTATTTAAATCAGCTGATCGAACACGTCACAGCAACATCATGTGACTCTGAGGAAGACCACAGGGAGCAGTCGAAACTGTCAGGTATGAAAACAAACTCTTGGTCCGTAAAAAGAACCTAATAACATGTTTCCAAAGTGCTGCACAATACAGATAAAGCAGATTCAATAGAAATATAAACTAAAAGCTCTATTTAACTCTACTAGTCCTCATTAAGACAATAACATAAATAGTAAAACAAAACCATCAGCATTTAGGTCTGGTAATCTGTTAATCATTGTGAATATATTATGTCAGCTTCATTTTGCCTCCAGGATTTTGAACATTCTGATGACAGGATTTTAAAGGATCTATTCAAATGAACTAACTTCAAATGAACTAACTTAAAAAGTATTTTGAAACAGGTGGTACTGAATATATGGGGGTCTAGGTGTCATCCCCCAGGAATTTTTTATTAATAATTTCCTGTAAATTTAACATACCATTTATTATAATCGCTACACAAATGGTATAGATGGAGGTAGTTTGTTTTTTTTTAAATACATATTTTATTAGAATTTGTATTACGAAAGCTTGGACATGCAATTACTGATTCTGCCCCAATGCGTGTTCAGTTTAATGTGTAAACTATTCTAACTAATTCTTGTATTTTTGGAGTTTTCGTCAGCAAAATTCGTATGTTTAAACCAGAGGTGTCCAAACTTTTTTCATCAAGGGCCACGTATCAAAACGCAGATGACGCAGAGGGCCGATCGAGAGCCATAGACTGCTGCTCAATACAGTGAATAATTGAAATATTTGCATGTTTAACACATTAGAATGAGCCGTCAGACTTTATTCATGCTAAGATTCTTAAAACCACACACTAAATATTAATTATTAGCTTTATCAAGGTAAATTTTCAAAAAACTTGCAGAAAAATTTTTTTTTTTTGTTGATGCAAGGTAATTTGGGCCAATTCACCTGGAAGCCTGAGGGCCAAGAAAAATTTGTCCGAGGGCCGCATTTGGCCCTCGGGCCATAGTTTGGACATGCCTGGTTTAAACTATATATTCTCCTCAAATTTCACACGGTCATGAATCAAAATAGGGCCAGCATGAAAGGAAAACTAGTCCCACTCAGAGTCCAAATTTTACTAAAAAAATCTCGCTTAGTTTTCTTCTATTTTCACGAAGTTTATAATCTTAATTTCTGGCAAGCATCTGTAGAGGTATTGCTATAACTTACCTAGCGACCATAACGTTGTCAAAATTGTGCAATAGTTATAATTAGACTAAGAAAAATACATGTTTATTTTGTTAAATAAAGGGTACATTTTTGGTTGGAGTTTCGGTGTCGATAGCATCGGTAAAACTCAGCGCCACTTCCTGTATTTCTGTACTTTTCTTCTTGTCTTTTTTACCCACAAACTGCAACTTAACGGATGTAAAACGGTGATAAATATTTACCACAGGTACTAAACCACAAAACCAAGTAATAATAATAATTAGAAAACATGAAAATCGGATCATTTGCACTTTAAGTATAATTTAATAACCGCATTTTCTTTTTTTTAAAAATAGTGTTACACCAAAAAGTTAATTTATGCTTAATTAAACGCCATGTAGAATACAGTAACACAAATGTCCTACACGCACACGTCCAATCACAGGCACTGCTGCTGACGACCTCTGCCTCTGTGACCTCTCACCTCTGACCTCACCACTGTTTGGCTGCCTGCTCGAACGCCACCTCCTGATTGGCTGCAGGGTCCGCCGGGTTGGGACGTGGTTGGTCGATTCAGGAAGGGGAGTGGGAGGAAATCCCAGGTGCAAAAAATATATATATAAAGATACAGTATATATGATGAAATGCGTTTAGAAATATATTTGAAAATGGAGCAGACAGGAGAGGAAAGGTGGATTGAATGTATAGTCCGTATATACTGTACGTCCCTGGGTCTCTGCGAGGTCGTTTTCTGCCTAAAAACTGCCAACGCTGTAGTTTTGACCTCTACGAACATGTTCTGAAATGCACGATATTCTTGTATTAGTTCAGATTTCCGTCTTCTCTGAAATATTAACGCTCCTCGATGTGTTTAGAATGTGCACTGTGTACAAAATGTTGATTTAAAAACCAAAAAAAAAAAGGCAAATCTTAACACAATTTTGGCATACGTGAGACAAAAAGCAACAGTTGAGTGTCTAGTTATACTGTAGAGTCCAGGCCAAACCAGAGAATCATCTTGACTGAAAATATTAAAGGTGCAATGTGTAACTTTTCACTGGTGGGGGATTTAATAATAATAATAATATTGTTTTACACTTTTAATGAGGTGTACGGGCTTATAAATGACACTGTAGGCTTTTGTCATTCTCTTCATACTTGCTGGTTATATCCTCCTGAGACCTGAAGAAAAAAAGCGTATTGCAATTTTGTGATTTTCTCGCTAGTTGGAGGTAAATGAACACCTTAGCATTCAGATTTTGTCCATTTTATTTTTATTTATAATTTTATAACTTGTCCTCTGTAATGTACGTCAGGGACATTTTGTTGACATGTTGTTAAAAGGCCCATCTCATGCAAAATCAACTTCTCAGAGCTTTCTACTTTCTAAGAGTGACGTGTGGGCCTTGTATATGTAGCTGAAGTGGTTTTTAGATTGATTTGGCGTTTTTTTAACAAATTGACGTAGAAGAAGGCGCTTTGTACCCGCCCCCGTCCCCGCTCCACCCCTCCTCCACCCCACATCGACTGACAATTCCCACATAAATACCTAAACAAAAGCGACAGCATAAGCTCATTGTTCTACACTGCAGTGTACACAATATAATAAGTTTATCTACTAGTGTTTATTAAAACTTTACCAATGCTGATGTCGACGCGGTGCTTGCGCTTCGTGCACCTCAAAGTCCTCGTCCGATTCCAGGTCCAACACATGCAGCTGAACGCGCTGTATCTCCTTGATGAATAAAAGTTTATTCCTACCGCTATCAGGGCGCACGCCTGTCTCCCCCTCCCTCCCTGAGATGGGCGGAGGAAGGGCGGCTCACTCAGAGCCTACGTCACGTTTGGAGGGTGGAGCCTGTGCTTTCTCAGGACGGGCGGGGGGATGAGCAATAGTCGGCCTTTCATAGTTCCTGGTCTGTGACTGTCTCCAAGAAATCAATAAGATTTCATAACTATTGTGTAATGGATGTTCCAAAGCCCAAATTGTGCTTGTATATGTGCAGAAGATACAATGTGAAAAGAGTTATTTTGCATGAGATGTTCCCTTTAAATCTATGTGACGTTAACCTAACAAATCTTTTGATATTTTTTTGATCATTTCTGACAAGCTTCTACAGTCGCCTCAAAAGGTTTTTAGACTCCCTTTTAATTTCTTAATTTTTTTTGTCATATTGCAGCCACAAACTAACTCCTTTTGAGTTCATTTTTTATCCTGGACATGATAGTGCTGTAGCCTATAATCCCCCAGCCCTATTTAAGCAAAGGACCCTAGTCCACCCATTAAGAGTCTGTCTCAAACCACTTAAAAGACAGACTGGTAAACTCAGTGTCCACTATAAAGGACTCAAATGAACAGGCCGGGTCTCAGGAGGATATACTTGTACTTCTGTAGCCTCAGCAGTCACTTTTAAGAGTTTGTATTGTGGGTGAAGCGTTTCGACCCAAATCATCTCGACCCAAAATCATCCAGCTGTGGACACAAACGGGCGTTCCTGTGTGGATGGGGGCTCCGTTCCTCGTCACTGTCAACATCCGGATTAACAGATTTCGATAGATAGTTAAGTTTTCTCAAAGCAAAGTTTCAAAGTAACATCTAGTTATAGAGTAAACGTGAGCAAACTAAGCCAAATGCATAACACGTGTCCAGTTACATCTTAAGCAACTTCATTTACGTTTAGGACCTAGCACAGGCAGACTTTAACTAGAGGTCTGCACGGGACAGAATTTTCGGTCCCGCTCCCGCAAAGAATTGTAATTTTCAGACCTGCTCCTGCCTGCATCTGCAATATTTTGTCCCGCTCCTGACCGCAAGTCCCGCAAGATGGGAACGTTCGCTTTCTTAAGCTCTCTCAAACACTGAGAAGCGGAAAGGAATTGTCTAAAATGTGCGCGAGATTAGACCACGTACGCAAATTTAGGCTGACGTTATACCCAGTAGTGCTTGTGAAACTGCACTACCAGGAATGCCTAATCTGTGTTCTTGTGTCACGACGTCAGCTGGACCCTTCGCTCTTGCCCATGAACACAACACAACTTTGTCCGAAAGAGAATCTGTCCTCTAAAGTTCAGATTGTGGGACCACTGCTCCAACCACTGAGCCACTACCGCGCCACGAGTCTTCCTTCTGTCTCTCTGTTGTTATACGTTGCCTGAAATGTTCCACAGTACGGCATTTAATCTATTTGCCTTTATTTAATTCAACTACAAACGTTTTATTTATTTGTATTCACACATTTTGACATTTTATTGCCAAAAATACACTTTGAAAAACATGCCCTTTTCCTGTAAGTGGGCTCACCTCTCCATAGATCTGACCTGTAACTTGACCCTGCTTGTCTCCATGGATATTTAGACTTGGACAAAATGTATTCACCCACAAGGGAAATGACTTGGACAAACAGGAGCTCGCGCAACACAGAGTACGTTTAGTAGTTTAATTCAGAAGTTTAACGCCGATTGTGGAACATTCCGGGCAAAGCAATGACATCTCCATGGAGACGAGCAAGCGGCAGACCCTCCACCAGCAAGGTTACACAATGCAGCTTTAAATAGTTGAATGTATTGTGCGCAGAAGCCTTATCCACACACGTAATAGACGGACTCGCTTTGTCTCCTGTCTGCTCTCGACAGAATATATGTGAATGGGATGACCAGTACTTCACGGGAATTATGGGAAATGTAGTTACCAATGTTAGCGGTTATCTGCAGAGGCAGACAACACAACTAAATACAGAAGAAAAAAATAATAAAAGTTTTAAAAAATATATATATATATATGGAAGATGTCTAGGTCTTGTCCAGACTGGTGACTCTGAATGCATTTATCTTAGTATTGTTAATGTTATTTATTTTATATTTTGTTAAAACTGTGATTTTAATTGTACATATATAAACAAACTTTGAACATGCAATGGTGATGTGTGGTTTTGTTTGAGTTTTAGAGTGAAAGATTTTTAATACTGAGCGTACTACCAGGTCAAAACACCATTCAAAGTAGAAGTAATAGTAAAGTGTAGTACTTTTACTGAAATACTGATTAAAAAAACACTTCCTGCCTTCTCAGATGATTTTAACGTGACAACACCATGTATTTACTGATTACAACTGCTGTTTGATTTATTCACAATTACAAAGAAGATTGCCGTATTTTTTGGACTACAAGTTGCTCCGGAGTATAAGTTGCACCAGCCAAAAAATGCATAATGAAGAAGAAAAAAAACATATAAGTCACACTTTTTGGGGGAAATGTATTTTATCAAATCAGAGAGCATTTGAAAGGCAAGTTCTAATAGAACAGAGAACAACAGACTGTTAACGTCACATATGAACAGTTCTTCAGATAATTATAACATAAACAACAGAACAAGTTTACCAAACTCTCCATCTCACTCCAAATCACTAAATCCATTCAATTCTTCATCCTCAGCTGTCGTGAGACTTCTGAGTTCTCCCCGGTGTCACACAAGTTTCCTCGCTCACTCCATCACTTTCTATCTGCTGCTCCATTACTGTTTTCAGCTGCAGATTTCACGAGTTGCAGCTTGTAATCTGCAAATTATAATTTTCTTTTTGGGGTCATTTGTGTTCAGTCTTCTCAGTCGTCTTCTTAAGTTTGTTTAAATTAAAATTTTCAGTGATACAGAAGTAATGGTGTGACCAACTGATAAGATGCAGAGAGAACAGCAGCTCTTTCTGCAGGAGACATGTGCAGTAGAGTGAAGTGACAATGGTACAGGAGTAACAGGAGCAGCAGATACTGACACACAAGACTAGAGTCTCTCGTGGCTTTCAGTGTGAAAATTTTAATATTTAAGTCGCACCGGAGTATAAGTCGCAGGAAACACCCAAACATGAAAAAAAATGCCACTTATAGTCTACAAAATACGGTACATGGTGGTATTTGGTTCTCATTCCTATCTGACTTGTACTTTGTGTTGCCAGATCCTACAAAACAAAAACAGTTTTTAATGTGGAGGGAGTCTATCAGGGTGGAACTAGGGTCGCAACTAACGATTATTTTGCTAATTGATTTGCTAATCTATCGTGATTATATCTTTGGTTAATTGTCCCGTGGGCCTTGGAATGTGGTTTTCCTACACTGTGCCCAGACAAAGCTCAAGAGAAGCCGCTTGAGGACATCCTGATGGAATATATTTACCAAAAAGTGTTTTAATCAGAAACCCACAATCTTGTGTGATTTGTTGGTAATTCTTGACATATTTTAAATCAGAAAACTTATCTATGCCTATGTATAAACCAGTAAGTGTAGTTGACAACTATTTCAATAATCAATTAGTATGATTAATAGATTCACTCATGGCAGCTCTCAGTGCAGTGAAACCCATCATCTCTCCAGCTTCATTAGTCTGAAAATCATATGAAAATATACTTTGAGAGATTTATTTAATCGTTTTGTTATCCACAAATATATCACATAGACATATCACGACCTAGACTACACTGGTTTAAAAACAAAAAACAAAAAACTATCGAGGTAAGTTAAAATTATTTAAATAAACATTTTAGGTTGAGCCAATTCAACTTCACACAGTAAAATTATCTACCAATGGAACAAGTGTGTTTTTCTTAATTCAAGCAGCAGATTTTCTTATTTTAAGTGCAAAAAGTTGTTGTTTTTCTTATTTTAAGTGCAGCAAGATGTATTTTCATATTTTAACGACAAAAAGTCTTTTGATAATTTTACTTGTCGAGTGCAATTTACTTGAATCAAGATAAAACTTAATCTTAACTTGACTAGATTTAGTTTTTTTTGCAGTGTATCCACTTCAGTTTTATTTTGTATTTTATTTGTTTTGTTTTGAACCGTCTGCTTGGACTAAAGAAGGACTCTCCCAGTGTCAAAGTTTCCAAAACAGGAGTAAGGGGTCTGCTTAAGATAATATGGCACTTGGAATATTAAGTGATTTAGAAGTTAAAATGAAATAGGTGGTGTTATATACGTCTAATACTTCTACAGAATACACATTTGCCTATAGTGAACTCCAGGTGGTGACTTTTACGGCTGTACTTTGCATTGCCCTGAAGCTCGATGAACTTTGACCAACTTTACATATTATTGACACTGAGGAAAAGTTGGCAACAGTTCAGTTTTCCCTCATTTGAGTTTTTCCTGCAAATACAAACATGTTTACTGTCTGCTCACGTGGCCCATATTTTGGAGTTTTCCAGTTCGGATACTTTTAAAATATCTGGAACTCTCTTGTGTCCTGGAGACCGTCCTGAGGAGATGTTGGGACAAGATGGACAGAAGGCTACATCACAACAGCTGATCACAGTGTATCTCAAGTCCAATAATTATGAGAGTAAATTTTTCTGCTTGTCTCCATGGGCTTAAAAATTTTCCATTTCAAGATTGAAGATAATATGTATTCATGTGTAACATGTCTGTAACAGTTCAGGATATTTTGACAACAGCAATCTGTGTATCATTTGTTCATCTGTTTTTAAAAATAAAACCAAAAATAAGAAAGTGAAAATTTATATATTTTCTTCATTATTTGTCTTCAAAACCAAAATGAAAAAAACAGATAATGATTTGTTTTTTTTTTTTTAGTTTTTGATTTTGTGTTTAAATGAATAATGGAAAAAAATGGATAATGGCCATTTCCCGTTTACATGACTTAAACTGCGATGTTGAACTAAACCAGGACTAAACCAGGACTAAACCAAGTCTAAACAAGAAATGAACCAGGTCCAAACCAGGACTAAACAAGACTAAACTGATCTCAGTCCTGGTCCGGTCCCAGTCTCAGTCCCATTCTCAATCCCGATCTGGTCCCTGTCTCAGTCCTAAACCGGGACTTCACCAGGTGGTGAGCCAACGTAGACTGTCAAGTGATCCAGACTGAGACCGGGACCGAGACCGGTTTAGTCCGGTTTAGTCCTGGTTTAGTCCTGGTTTAGTCCTGGTTTAGTCCTGGTTTAGTCCTGGTTTAGTCCTGGTTTGGCAATGCATTTTAAGTGATGGAAACAGCAGTTATCTGTTTTTTTCATTATTCATTTAAAAACAAAAAATGAAACTCATTATCATCAGGGTTTGGGTTTTTTTTTCATTCTGGTTTTGGAGACAAATAAAGAAAATAGTTTCTTCGTTTTCTTATTTTTGGTTTTATTTTGAAAAACAAATCAACGAATGATACACGGATTAACAGCAACCTGAGATTTAATAAATGCAAGATATAATGCTATAATCCTATACTCATTTTTTTTCTCCTTATACACATTTATATTGAAATACCACTAGCCAATACATACATCACGTTGGAGTAGTGTATTGTAGTACTCTGTGTAGTGGCTCTTCTGTCTTCAGCTGTGGTGAAGTGAACAGTTCAACTCTGTTTCCACAACAAACACAGATCTTTCTCCAGCTCAGCCCCTCTCCAGCCACCTGCACCTCTGGATCTGCTCTGACATATCTGTACAGGGAAAAACATGAACAAAACTACATCTGAAATATTAGATTTTGTATAGGAGTTTTCAAAATATTCAACTTAAAAGGTGCACTGTGTAACTTTTAGGTTGGGAGTCAGTCAGATCTTAGATTTATTCAATTACAGGTGGTTTTATAGATCAAAAACATTAGAAAAACAAACATTCTGATGTGAGCGGGGTCGCCTCTCCATAGCTCTGACCTGTAACTTGGTCTGGTTTAATTTCCATGAAGATAGAAAGGTTTAATGCCATACTGTGAAACATTCCAGACAAAGCAATAACGTCACTGGAGAAAAGCATTTCATGGACCCTCCACCAGAAAAGTTACACAATGCACCTTTAAACACACATTATGTAAATTTTTTGAGCGTCCGCAAAGTGTTTGTAATGCTAAAATGTTCCACAGTATGGCATTAAACGGTCAATCATTTATTCTATTACAGCAGGTCTTTTCTCTGCTAAAAATTGCCTTAAAAAAACTGAAAAATCCCCAAAAGCTAAACATTCTGACTGTGAGCAAGGTCGCCTCTCCACAGATCTCACTTATAACCTAAGTGTCTTGTGGAGTAACCGCTTGTTTCCATGGAGATTGATACGTTTAATGCCATACTGTGAAACAATCTAGGCAAACCAATTGCATCTCCATGGAGACAAGCAGGTCCCCTCAACCGGAAAAGTTACATATTACGTCTTTAACTTCATTCTGTGTTGTTTTTTCACACAAAAATCACTCAAATGTTTTAATCCAAGAGCAAATTTAATAGAAAATGCGAAATATGTGGCATCAAAGTTTGTCAAAGAAAGGCACCGTTTTCACAAGGCCTCAGTACAATTTATTGTGTTTCTTTTTATCATTATGTACATCAAAATTAACCTAAGTGCTTCATACTAAAGAAACAGAACTGGCACATTTTTCTTAATATATTACATCGTCATAATTTAATAATGTGAAATTATACAAAAAGAAAAAAATAAACAAATCTTTTGTCGTTTTTCGTCCATGTCAGTTCACTTCATCTTCGGCGGAAAAGATATTTGGGGTTTTTCAACAGAACTGCAAAACAAGACAAAAAATATGATGGGATGATGGACGATTGGGATGATTACAGAGTCATTTATTGATGGACTAACTTAACTGGGCTAGGCCAGGATGGAAGGATGTCTGTAATTAAGTTAATTTGGTAACAAAACCTTGATACAATAATACATTATTTATCAATTAATTTTGGTATAAAATTATAATATGTCATGAGAATATTGTGATTTAAATCAACACTATGAAAATATACAAAAATATATAAAGAGGGACGATATGAGCCGTTAGCCTTCAGTCTTCAGCATAGGTCAATATTTAGTTTGAGTTGACATTTATGTGATGTGGTTACAGTGTCTATTGTAAAGACTGTTGTGGACATCTGAAATATAATGTATTATTAATATAATTAATAACAATATTAATCATTATCATAATTCCATTGTATTCCCTTTCTATCATGCAATGCACGTACAGACCAGGAGTGTCAAACTCGTATTTACAGAGGCCCAAAATTAAAAACTGGGACTAAGTCGTGGGCCAAACTAAATATTTATTGAAAAATTTCAGCATCTGCATGTTTTCTTTTTGTTCGAGATATGTAATGTTAAACCTTTTCTTATTAAAATAAATGCTTAATAGTTTATTCTTAAACATTGAATCCAGAACAAGCAGAATATTTATTTAAAATATTATTTTATAATGTGTGTATAGCCTGTCTGTAGCTGGCGGGCAGCTCTAATACATATTTGATATGATCTCGCGGGCCAAACCGAATTATATTGAGGGCCAAATTTGGCCCCTGGGCCTGAGTCTGACATGTCTGGTATAGACAGAGTTTGTAGGAATTTAAAATCGATCAATACACAGTAGCGCCTTCTCATTCAGTGTTTTTTCTTTGTTTTCTTTTTTCAACATTTTATATACTCACAGAAGACATCAAATACAGGATGCAACATATATGGATTTATGAAGCAAAAAAACAACAACTATTTAATTTTTTTATTTACTTTTAAATCTCAAAGAGGTGTTGAGTTTATTTTGAGTTTAATTTTTTCTGTTTGCTGCATTCAGATATGGTTGTTCGTACGCCTTCAATCTACAATGTAAATTTAAAATAAAAACAAAAAAAACTCTTGACTTTTGGCAGAGCTTATCAATTCTTAAGTATCAGCATCACTCCTGAAAAAAAAAAAAAAAAAAAGCATATATGCAAGTATCTTAGTAAAGGCAATTTGAACACTGAAATGATCATAATTAGCCTTTGAAAAACAGAGCAATGTACAACAGAGTTTTGATCAGACCTGACTATAAATATTTTACTTTAACATGTGAATGAAACAAACTCCAGTATGTTTGAATACGAAGAAAAAAACACTATGACAAAAGGCCGACACATTTACATATCAACAGTAATTTAAGGTCACGATCCAAACAGCTTTAGTCAGGTTTGCAGCGTGAGCGCCTTGTTGCAGGTAACACAAACACTTAAATTGGTCTCCTCACCTTGACCCAGAGTCAAGAGGAAATTAACGGTGAGGGGGCGGGGCTAGGAAAGGACAGCTGATCGTGCGTGTGGGAGAGGGAGGGGCTTAAGAAGGTTAAACAACAGAAGCCACGCGCAAAAGCTGTTTCAACTCAGTCTGGCTGGATGTTTTCACTTTCAAACTACAGAGTCCAACGTTTTAAATAGAGATGAGAGATTAGGTAAGAATTCAATGGCAAAATCCTGTGGTTTTGCCATAGTTTATGGTCAATTGCTCTGTAAATATTGGACTATTATTTCACTACAGGCTTTAGACTGAGCATTAAGCACTGTTACGGACAGTCTCTGCTACCCTCTTGTGGGCAATGTCTGCAACTGCAATACTACATTCGATATTTGCCGTTCATTCATAAAAATCCCTGTTACATAATTTACACTATGAATCTGATATCATGTTTTTGTTATATTTTTGCACGAATAGACAATGTTGAAATTGAAAATATCAATTAAAAAAAAAAAAAAAGCAATACAATGAAATGGTTAAAAAGTTGAACTTCCCTTTCTGTCTATTTGTACCGTATTTTCCGCACTCATAAGCCTCCAACCCCATCAAAAAATGACTGCGCGCCCCGCAATCCAGAGCGCCCTATACACGAATCCACTTCTGCAAACTACAAAACCGCACCACACGCAGCGCACGCAAACACACACGGAGCAGACAGCGACCGCACAGCGAAAAACACCCACAGCCACACTCATCACTCCACGTGGACGAGGAACGGAACGGAGGAAAAAGCGAGTGCATTGTGCCACTTCTAGACACAATTGAACAACTGAGTCACTGCAAACACGCCAACAATCCAGCGACAGACAGCACCCTCCCTACACGCCACAACTGAACAAAGCCCAGAGTCACTGTGAACGCGCCAAACAAAGTCCCACTGACTCATCAAACTGTTGTGTTTTGTTTAAAGTCCAGTGTGGCTTATTTGTGAAAAAAGTTCGAAAATAGACCATTCAATGTGCCTTACAGTGTGGAAAATAAGGTAATCATCTACAAAACCTTATTGTACATTGAAGCCAGTCCAATAAACCATATTTCTCCATGTCTCCTGTGTTCCTGTGTTGTGTTTGTGTGTGCATGTACAGTTTGTACAGTTTACCTTCCATCTGTGGCCACAGTTGTTGCACACGACAAATGTGGTCATGGGCTCATCCGCGCTGCGAGTCTGCACCTGGGACACGAGCACAGAGCGCGTTTAATACTGATTCAGTTAAAGCAAACTAACCACTTGTATTTACAGCTGTTATGCATTACACAATAAAAGATGTATTATTTAGGTTGGGACAGAGCAAAACTGTATTTGACTTGAAATTGTTCAATCAGTTTGAACACAACATCCTGCTAAATGACTAACACAAACATTAGGGCGTTTTTGCACACGAAGTAATCAAGAACTAGACTCCTGCTATTCCTCAGTCCCTATTTACTCTGAGAAACTACCCAGCCCCCCCTTGTGTGGCTCAAAGAGTGCACAGTATTGGTCATACTGTGGAAGATTAGAGCCAAAAGAACAACAAGCAGGAAGAGGCTCTCCTCCAGGATAAATAAGTGTCAGCCCATGGCCTATGTGTAATAATACAGTGGTCCCTCGTTTATAACCCGCAGTAGGTGAAATCCACGAAGTAGTCAGTCAATTATTATGTGTTTAAAGGCTGTAAGACCCCTCACCACACACTTTATACACTTTTCTCAGACTGGACACTTACAACCCTTTTTGCATTCATCTTAAAACTTATTGCCGCTGTCGTCCTTTTGTTATTTTCCTCCTCCTTTATGTAACAAACCGAAGATTAATTTATTCCGTAATGGAGCTTCTTTCAGCGTGTCCAGAAGTCCAACTTTTTGTGCGATGGTTTGCATCTTCCTCTGCCTTTTGGGTGCGACCACAGAAGCCTTTGTTGGTGCAGAATGTTTTGTTGACATTGTGGGTTTTTGTCGGGGAGAAAACTTGCAAACATACAGCACTTCAGAATCACACTGCTAGAGATCGAACATTTATGTAAATTTGGCTGAACGCATCTGTACTGTACAGGAGACACGGCACGGAGGAGATTGATTGGCAAGTGATCTACAGTCCCTCATCTGATCAGAATGCAGTGGGAGGAACACAATGCATGTTCATACAAGCATAAAGCATGCAAAATTGCACAAAAAAATAGCTGCGAAACAGCAAGGCCTCGAAAGGTTAAACCGCATTATAGTGAGGGACGACTGTACTGTACATGGGCCAGTACAGTAAGTATGTCGATGTAAAGTACCTATATGTGTGTGCCTCGCTCTATAGTTGTACACATTGGTGGTTTTAGCTGCTTGTAGTTACAGTTATAGTATTATAGTATGTTAGTATATTACTTGGTTGTAGGTGCAGTAGTGGTACAGGAGTATTACCTGATTATAAGTGCAGTTATTGCCCTTACACTTGCTGCACACAAACATGTCAGTCTCAGTCCCGCCCACTCTGGACAGCTGGTGCTCCCGGATAGACTCTTTAGTCAGAGTCTCACGCATCTGCTTCAGCTCAGCACTGGCCATCTCCTGAAAACAACACATTTTTAGATTATTTTGGTCTTAAAAATGTGTGTATATATAAATTTTGACTAATTGTTTGTCCAGGATTGCTGCACAAGCCGTCACATAAACCACAATGATCTTTACTCGGTTTAGAGAGTGGTTCTGTCTCTGACCTCTGCGCTCATGCTGGCGATGCGCTGGGGCCCGATGTGTCCACACAGCACGTTCCGCCGCAGGTCCGGGTTCTTCTGGTCCTTCAGGTTGGAGATCCGGCTCCGGAGGCGGCTTTTGTACTTCGTGTCTGTGGACTTAAACTCCTGGTAGATCTGTGAGGGCTGGGTTACGGACTAATCTGCATATTTTTGTGATGTCTGCGTTTAGTAATTCTGTCCCTCACCAAAACATTCTCTAACATATGCGACAGTCAAAGGATATGGTCTTCAATTTGTGCAGCGAGATGCGCACAGTCAACTCCATACGACTTGTAGTCTCCTGAAGTACATTCACAATCATTAGGAAGTGCTCCATCAGTAGTACTGTATGTTCTTCTTATTATTTTCTATTTAAAGGTACACTATGTAACTTTTCTAGTGGACTTTGTTATTTCTGTAGAGAGATTATCGCCATTCCTGGAATTCCCTGTTGCATTAAACATATTTCCATAATGATAGTAATAAAAATACCTTGAATAATAGATACATATTTGTAATATTAGGCAGTAGAACATTACAGACAAAGCATTAACGTCTCCATAGAGACAAGCAGGTGCCAAACCCTCACCGGCAAAAATTATAGTGCATCTTTAGAGAGGCCTGTGTCCCTCTGGGGTGGTGAGATGGAAATTATCCCTCAACTATAATACAGTGTGTTCAGATTCATGTTGTGTCACGTGTGTCCACTAATATGTACTGTCCCAATTAAATAAATAAATAAATAAAAAACATTCCTGTTCAACTGTTGCATTTGTTTCTGTAACATCAAACGTTTTCGTTAAATACTGTCATATTTCTTCTCCTAAAATTTCAAGGTTCTGGATTTATTTAAAAAGTGCTTTATGAATGAAATCTTAACTTAATGGTGCATCGTGTAACTTTTCTGGTGGAGGCTCTGTCAAATGTTAAGAAGATGTTATTGCTTTGTCCGGAATACTTCACAGTACGGCATTAAACCTTTATCTGCATGGAGATCAAACCAGACCAAATCATAGGTCAGATCTGTGGATTGTTTTTTCTAGATGTTTTTGAGCTGTAAAACCACCTGTAATTGAATACACGTAAGGCAGAGCTGTTTAATGTCACACTGTGGAACAGTCAAGACAAAGCAGTGACATATCTATAGAAACAAGCAGGTGACTGACCCCCAACCAAAAAGTCAGAGTGCACTTTTAAATATGATAAAATTATTGACTCAAAATGACCATGGCAAGTAACAGTTTAAAACAGATCTATATACATCTATAAAGTTTTCAAAATGCCGCCTATAACAGGAAACTGAAACACAGAAGGTTCTGTTTTCTGTTTGCTGACCGTCAGTCTGGAGCGCAGACACCAGCAGCTCTCGACACTTGTTGCGGACGCTGTCGGAGGTGACCGGGGCCGGGGGGAACGAGGTCATACGAGAGGAGGCGGAGGGCGTCTGGGGTTCCTCAGCTTTATGACTGGGGAAAAGAGAAAAGTTAAAACTATTCTAATGTACACGACTGTGAATATGAATTAAGTTCAAAGTACAAATGAGAGATTAGAGACAGACAACAAACACTAGTATATTTAAAGGGCCCATATTACACAATTTCTGTTATAATGTTGTCTCCTCATCACAAACAGACCTGGAGTTGTGTTTTGTTTCATTCACACAGGTTTAAACACACAAATAATGCATTTTTAGTCTTTCTCTTACAAAGTGAAAACACTTTGTTCCACCTTACAAGGAAGAGCTCCACTGCATTTTTAAACTCTATACACCTTCGCTAGAATCATTTGGATAATTTAAGCCCTGGAATTGCCAATCGCTACTGAAAAAAGATAAAAGGTACCCGTTAACTTGAAAACTATCACTACAGGACCTCACAAGGTGGAACAGAGCATTTTTCAGCTTTTGATAAGTAGACAGCCTAAGACTTACATGTAGCTGGATTTGTAATGTTGAGAAACGAATATTTCCCTCCCTCCGTTTTCCAAAATAACATCGTGCACACGGCATAGTTTCCAAAAAAGTTTTCGTTTACATCAACCCGCATAAATACACCATCGAGCGCCGTCAAAACTACACCAAGCCTCTGGGCGGCGCCTGGATTAGATTCAAACCTGTAGCGTTTATTTCATTACAGTTGTAAGTATTACCGTATTTTCTGCACTGTCATTAAATGGTCTATTTTCATACTTTTTTCACAAATAAACTGCACCGGACTTTAACACAACAGTTGGATGGGTCAGTGGGACTGTTCGTTTGTCGCGTGTTCGCAGTGACTCAGTTGTTCAGTTGTGTCTAGAAGTGGCACATTGCACTCGCTTTTTTGGTTCGTTCCTCCGTTCTGTTCCTCGTTGGTGTGGAGTGATGAGTGTGGCTGCGGGTGTTTTTCGCTGCGCGGTCGCTGTCTGCTCCGTGTGTGTTTGCGTGTGCTGTGGGTGCTGCGGCTTTGTAATTTACTGAAGTCATGCTGGGACACCCAAGTGGATTCGTGTATAGGGCGCTCTGGATTGTGGAGCGCGCGGCCATTTTTTGATGGGGTTAGAGTCTTAAGAGCGCGCTCTAGAGCCCGGAAAATACGGTGCTCAAAAATACCTTGAAAAACGTGCATTACTGAGCGGGCTCGCCTCTCCACAGATCTGTTAAAGAAGTGGCAAAATTGCTGACCTCCGAGCCTCACTGGTCTCTGGTCATGGATATGAAACATCAGCAACACATGAAAAGTGTTTGCACCAGAAGAAATGCGACTGCTGCTCTGAATGCTTCATCATCATCAGAGCAAAAGGTAAAAACACTGGTCGCACTTTTCGGCGCGTCAGCTCCCAACACTGTTTATCTGACTTTACATGCAAACACCAAACCGTAGTTTTCCAAAATCTCCATTCTAGTCGGAGTTTTTAGAAATATTTGTTTTCCAGAGGTGAATTTGTCGTATGCGTGTAAAAGATGGGTACAAACGAAGGTAACCATGTATGTGTAAACAGGGCCTAATAAGGATTACTCAGACATGTGAATAAAACTAAACACAACTCCAGATATGTTTTTGATGAGGCAATAGCATTATAGCAGGACTAAAATCTTACAGGAGTCAATTTAGGGAAATATAGGACCTAGTTTTCCAATTTCACTTGCTGGTTGGACATGGGCAGCAGATATGACACACTTAGAGGTCATTTGGTAACAGTTACCTGGCAACCATAATGTTAACGAGGGCCAAAATGAGTCTAAATTACACAAAATATATGACACGCCTTTATTTTGTAAAATTTAACTGTCATAAAAATGTGCTCCTTGCTCCTAGATTGTTCTTGGATTTTCCGTTTCCGTGGATTCCGTGTTAGAGAGGGATTTAGTTTTAGAACTCACCGCTACTTCCTGTATTTTCGCACTTTTCAACTTAACATTTTTTCCACAAACTGCAACTTAATCGATGTAAAACTATAATAAATACTCAACGCGGGTTTTATCCCACCCAACCAAGCCATAATTAGAAAAACATGAAAACCCGTCACTGCGCTTGAAGTTCGTGTTTGTTCAAACCTCTTCTCGTGGCCCGAGTCTTTGCAGGTGGATGAAGACCTCACCAGGGGCTCTGGCTTCATCTCTTTTTCCTCAGACTTTTTCTCTGCACCGTCTAAAGGAAATATTGAAACAGACATGAATAACCCAAAATACATTCTTTCCAAATCTCAAATAATTTAATGCCAAAATACAATCTGCCTAAAATGTTCCACACTATGGCATTAAACAGATGTACCTTACATTTTTTCCAGTTACAGATGAATTTATTGCTCAAAAATACCAGAAAAACAGACACTGTGACTGTGAGCAGGGTCACCTCTCCACAGATCTGACCTGTAACTTGGGTCTGGTTCGGTCTCTATGTAGATAGAAAGGTTTAATGCTATACTGTGAAACATTTCAGACAAAGCAATACCAAGCATTTGGTGGACCCTCCACCAGAAAAGTTACACAATGCACTGTAAAAATATGTACCAAGAAATAAATAGAAATGTGGACGCATGTACACTCAACTTTATGTTGCATTAACCAGGATACTGTGTTACATGCACCATGACGAAACCGGGATACTCAAAAAACCCGATTATAACATAATGTAAACGCACTCACTGACGTGAGACTGTGAGGCTTCAACTCCAGTGTTTATGCTGTCAGACGCAGCCTTGTCTCCTTACACAACGCATAGCAACCTACATTTGGTTTGTCGATTAAAAACGAACATGATGGACAAAATGCTTAACAATCAATTATCAAATAGGCAACTAATCATGCTCATCCTATTTTCCATAGTAATATCAACTACACAGAAATAATCTTGTATTCTGGTGTGAACTTGTTTACACTGCTGCGTTTCTCAATGCTTAGCAAGAAGAGCCATTATCAAGTCAACATACCGATCAGTTTCTTCCAGGATTTGATGAGACCTTTGGCCAAAGTCTGGACCTCTTCATCTGAGCTCAGCTTCCTCACGGCGTTCACGGACATCCCCACTCTCGTAGACTGCAAGAACAACAAACAGAACTGTGTAAACCAGTGAGTGTGTAAGGAAACAAAGAGAGGAGCCTGTTGGACCTTGTGGAACACCTAGATCAATCATAAACAATATTGTTTGTTGTTTTTTTTTAAAATATATTTTTTTCTACATATATTTTTTGCAAACACTTTTACCTCCATGTCTGTTAGCTAGTATTTGATTTGATTTAAAATTTGATTTGATTTAAAATGACACCATTTGACTGGGCTCTATTATGGAGAAATATCAACGGAGCCATGACACAGCCCTGTTGAACTCCAAACACAGTATTAAATGGCTTTTCTTTTTTTTTTTCTAACAGGCCAAATTTCTCATTCTATCTTCCTGAGTGTGTAACACACGACACTTCCCAGTGTAGTGGTTAGCTGAGATATGTCAGAATACTTTTTCACTCTGCAAAAAAAACTAAATTAAAAATAAATCACTTAAAGCATCAAACTGCAGCTATTAAACTGTAGAAGAAACTCTACCTGCAGTGTCTCCAATGACATCTTAATATTCTTCAGTTCTTGCAGCAAATCCAGAGCTCCATCCTGTCAGGCAAAAATTATTACAATTATTTTTGTAATTAAAAAGGTATATTTCCATTTATATTACAAACAACGAATAAAGGTTTTACGTTTATCTTTCATTCAAAGCGTGATTTTCACAATTGGCAACAGTATCAAGATCTTGCATTGTAAAAATGTCATTATTTAAAATAGTCTAATTGAAATTCTATTTCTGCATTGAGAAAATTATTAAAATTCCACTGTGTAATGTAACTCCCAGTGAAGAAACAACAACAACAACAACAACAAAAAAACAACTAGCAAGAGGACTACTGGAATTGCATTTAGTAAGTCTTCTAAAAAATAAAGTGTTAAGTTAACATTATTATTTTAAATCACTGAATTGACATGTAAAAATACGCAAGACACCATTGGGCTGAAGAATAAGGGGAAAAAAAAAAAAAAAAAAAAACTTTGAGCTAAACAAAATAGGCTTCCAAATTTAAAAAAATATCCTAATAATTTTCAGATTATAATGATGGACGTAATATAACTAACAGAGCATTTTGTCAACATTCAAGTGAAGAAAGAAATGTTCATTGTAGAATTTCTAATTGGTGACTAATAGCCTTCTTTAATTCATTAATTAGGATATAACAGCAAAATAAATGAATAAATAAATAGCCAATATACAGACATATCGCTTTAAACATTTAATTAAAACATAAGTGAAAATAAAAAATAGCAACGTGTTTTCCAATGCAAAACTAAAGTGCCACATGCACGCCACAATGACACATAATTAACTCAAGGTGTGGGAGTCAAATTGGCACGTACTCCAAATCTTTTACGAGAAAACTCATCTATTTTTGCATTTTTACGCTTTTCTTTCGCCTTTTCCCAACCTCTCCAAGCGTGCACGCCTTTCCAGAACCCTCTTTTTCTCTCCGCGCACATTGGCCCCATCACCTGACCGCCTTTTGTGCACTTTTCTGGGGGGATGCAGCGGCTGGCGCTTGTCGATCGCCCTGACGCACCCACCGTGTTCTTCTTGTGCACCATCTTGTCCAGTTTTTTGGCGATGCGCTCCACCTCCGCGTCCTTAGCCATGGTTGTAGAAGTGGTCCGTGGCCGGCACTCGCTCCATGCATTTGGGGGGAAAAGTGATCCGTGCGCGCCGCTGTGTCGACTCTTTTACGCGGTGTGCTGTCTCTGTGGCACCGTGCGCTCTCCACGCAGCTCGTGTTTGTTATGGTGCGCGCTGTGGACTCATGGGAGTTGTGGTTCCGAAATGTCACGTGACGGTCCAAATTGTCACCTTCTGTAGACTGCGAGCTCATTTGTCTTCAAAACGTTTTACGCAAAGATGTTTAACAGCAGCGAGAAGAATGTAGTTTTAGTTTAGAGTTCAGGCTGGCTTGACAGAATTTATGAATTTACACTTTGTAGGCACCAATAACAAAATAAATAATAAATAATACAATAAAATAAAATAATAAAGAAATAATAAAAAATAACAAACAAATAAATAAATTAAAATAAAATAAATAAATAAGCAAATCAAAAAACAAGCTTATGAATAAGTAAAAATGAGAGGTCAAAAGTGTGAGCGTAACAAATTGTTGCACTTAATCAAATTTAATTAAATATCACAAGGACTACTTAATAAAAACATAAATAAAACATAATAAAAACATTTAAAAACACATTAAAACACATAAATATAGCATGCTATATTAGTCTAAATATTTCTTATCTTAACAATATGCACACATTTTCCCTCCAAAAGTAAACTGTGAATAAATTAAAATTCAATTCAAGGTTAAAACTCAAATAATCTCAATAATAATTCTTAAAAAGAGATACATCATTTTGTAATTTATAGCAAAGGATTCCACAAAAAGGTAAATAAAACAATCGAAAGTTAAACTAAAGTGTAATTCTAGTGAGTGTCCACACGATGGCAGTACAGTGCAGTCTAGCGCACATGTGTACCAGGGCTTCCAAAGGAAATCACAACTTCAAGGAAATCACGCGATGATTAAAATACATAAAATGAAACAAAAACGAATAATTACAAGCAGTATATAGTTTTAACTTTTGTTTATCAGTTACTGTGGAAGCTATTGTGGATTAGAATTACATCATTATGTGTATTAACATCGTCATGATTGAGTTACACTTTTTTTTAAACAAAATATGAGCAAGGTCTTGAGAATACATGAATTTTCTAAACATAATAAGCAATGTCTTATTTTTACTTTTTTTTTTTTAATATGTTAGCAAAAACTGGAGATTCTCCCCAGTGTTCAAGGTCAGGGCTGGACTGGCACTGAAGTCTGAACATCTGAACTGGATGGATTTGAACTGCCAATTGTTTTCTTATAACCACAGGGTTGGTGGTTCGATTCCAACACAGACCAGTGCATATTATATTAGGTTTCATGCTATTTGGGGACATTACATTGGCTAATTTCCTGGAGATGGATCCTAACCAACCTAAACTCTGACTTTAACCTAACTTTAATCTATTTTAACCCATGTTTGAACTTTAAAGCTGCACTGTATGTAAGTTTTCTGGTGATGTGATTTATTTAACTCTTTAGAGATAAAGAGTTGATGTCACCAGGCCAAGTTACAGGTCAGACCTGTGGAGAGGCAACCACACACACATAAAAATGCATGTTTTTCAAGGTATTTCATAAACAATAAAAAACACCTGCAATTGAATAAATGCAAGATACATTAAAGGACATATTGTGGGATAATTTTACAAAGCAAAAACATCCCCATGGAGACAACCAGCGGGTCTCCACCAGAAGAGTTACATAGTGCAGCATGTTGTTGTTGTTGAAGGATTTGTGTCATGGGACCTGATTTTAGTCCCCATAAAGAAGATGGACTTACTTGAATTGAGTGCGTATAAAACAGGGGTGTCAAACTCATTTTGGTCCGGGGGCTGTATTCAACCTACTTTGATCCCAAATGGGCCGGATCAGAAAACTCATGGCATATATACCCCAAAAATAGCAATAAGTTCAAATATTTGTACAGAGAAATGCAAATCTATTACAGAAATATTTTTTTAATTGATGAACTCTTTACAAAGTCTTATAATATCATGAAAAACCTGAAACTTTAAGAAAAATGCAAATTCAACACGATGTTTTAACATTAACTTGTGTGCAAATAGGAATAAGTCAATTTTTCTTGGAAAATCCTGCACTCCGCATCCACTTTTCTCATTTTTGACATTTTTCTGATGAGGGTGTCACAGTCAACAGTCAAAACGATCGTCCTTTAAGAGCATTTGGAAAGAGACAAGTCTTCATTTGTGCTGCTCTGGTGGGAGGGGCCACGCACAGAGACGCTGGAGACGCTGCTATGCTCAACGGCACAGAAAATTACTAATATTTCAATAGAAAATATAATTAAAATATTTTAGTAGAAAATCAGCCGAGGGCCACATTAAAGGTCTTGGAGGGCTGAATACGGCCCCCGGGCCTTATGTTTGATACCCGCGGTATATAGATTTTATTTCACACAATGTGATCATTTACAAATCGTATAGTTTTGACCTGAGGCAAGACATACACAGGATCGCCACTACAGATCTGACCTCTTCATTCTGTCTTCAACTTTAAACTTAGAATTAGACAGGAGCGTGTGTTTACCTGCTTTACATGTTTGGCCTACTTCCTGTAGCCGTCCTCAGAAGCATCACGTGGTGGAGTGACGTGTCTTGTAGGCTGCCTTACATGGTTTTGCCGGACATTACCGAAACCATGTCTGACAACAGCAAGACACAAAACCACATCATGGACTGAAAGCAATAGACACCATTGCTGGATCATGGGAGCCACTGAGATCTGCAAACAAGGTCCAAGGAGCATTAATCGTGACGAGGGAGCATACACCTTATCACACACACAGGATGATGCGGTACTGAAGAAGGCGTCAGACACGAGGGGGCGTAAGCTTTCCCTGCTGTCTAACAAAACCAAGCAAAGACACTTCACTACACCATCACGTTAGCCAGTCTGGTGCCAACTAGTGCCTCCACTCAATTTTATTTCTCTCCGGGGACTAGGTCAGGAACTGGAATATACTAAACGGTTTGCGAGAACCCTGGAAGTTGTAAACCAGAGATCTCCAACCTTTTGCATGTGGTGAGCTACCTTTACAAAATGAAAACGCCAGAAAGCTACTCATTTGCATCAACGGTTGCAAGAAATCAATTCAGTATAAGAGAGCAAGCGTTAGATGTTGTACAATGAAATGCCTATAAAATATTAAACCATTATCCATTTATTAGTGCACAAAGTTCAAAATAACACATTTACAGTGGTAATTAATCAAATCTGAGTTATTTAGCACAATATGTATAATTTAAAAATCCTTTGGCGAGCTACTTGTAAACGGGTGGAGAGCTAATGGCAGCTCCTGAGGTAAAGGTTGGAGACCCCTGTTGTAGTACAGTAACAGTAAACAGTAAACAAAGCGGTCGAGATGGATGTGTTGGTAACGATTCCCGAGATTGAGGATTTAAAGCCGGAACAAAGAGAATGTTTGGTGAATTTTATCAAGGGTAAACGTTATTGCCCTTCCTCCTATGGGATTTGGAAAAAGCTTAATATACCAGTTAGCTCCGTTTGCGGCGCATTACATACGTCACGACCAAATAGCAGCGATTGGTTACATAAAAAAAGTACCAGTCTACCGTCGAGCGAACGAATCCTACTGCTGTGAGGTCAGACTGTTTCCACAAAGTGAAACCGGCTGATGAATCAGACTACCATCACGTGACACTTCTGAAGAAAAGCTACAGGAAGAAGCTGAAACATCTAAAGCAGGTAAACAAATGCTCTGTCTGACAAAAACAAAACAAAAAAATAATAATCTGGCCTGCCGCTTAACCTGGTAGTGTCACGTATTTCCATGAAGATAGAAAAGATTTTATGCCATATTTTGGAACATTCTAGACAAAACAACCTGAAAAACTACATGCGAACCTTTAAATTAGATTCAAAAATTGTGATCAATCTATACAAGACAAAGAAAAAAGAGATTCATTGATGTATTGATTAGCCCTGAGCCTATATTTCTACTTATATAACTGTAACCCTCACATACTTTAACCCGACGTGACTTTGGACAAAATCTGAATTTTTTCTCAGCCTTCTCAGACATCATAGCACGTAACAGATGAATCCAGGAAGTTCGTACCTGCTCAGAACTCCAGCGTTCCTTTGATGCCTCTCACATCAAGGGACCAGGAAGTCCTCTCTTCTGTTGATCCATGGCCTCCCCCCACCTCCTCCAAGACGCCAGGAAGAACCTCTCCACCTACCCACCTACGCGCTCAGTCTATGGACCTTCTCAGACAGGACGTTAGCAGTTAGCGTCTACCTTGGTCTCCAGGAAGTAGCTGCTCCACTCGCTCTAGATCGTCTGACCCCAGCCCGGATGAAGGCCCTTGATTGGATAGATGGACCCATTCTAACTTCCTTCAGAAAGCAGGCCAAGTATTGTGTTGCCCCGCCTCCAGTCTTCCGCCTCTCTGATGGTAAATGAGTCTTGTGGTGTTATCAGAAGTCCCATGAGGTGTGGGTAAGTGACTTTCTAGAGAAAAATTACAAGTATATTACATTTTCTGAAGGTTAAATTGTGTTGTGAGCGAATTGTTGGCAGTAAGTTGGTTAGAAGGTTGAGGCCTTGATTTCTAGACCAAATGTGGCCTTTCGATGTGGAGTTTGCGTGTTCTCCCCATCTCTGAGAAGGTTCCTGCTAGATATACTCTGGTGTTACGTATTGATCCAAAACATGCACAGTGTAGATTGATACTTCAACTGGGTAACCCTGAGTAAAATCTGGTTTAGTTTTTTTTTTTGACACGAGTCCTCAGACGATGCACTGAGGTCACTCATTGCTCGTGACAGTTTATCTTGGCAGTAGTTGAGGGATGGTCAAATCCAGAACCAAGAACTGGCTTCTGACTAACAGTCTGATTTCCTCACATGAAACGTTAAAAAAAAAAAGGCTAAAAACGTGCTTTTTCTTCCTTTTGGACTGCAAAACAGAAAAAAACACATGTCGTTACTGTGAGCTACTTGCATCTCCACAAACCTGACTCTCGCTTGGCCTGGCAGAGAGTCTGCACCTGCTGTCGTACGATTCTTACTCTCCAATTGCATGGAGTCATGTAGGTGATGTGCCACTTTCAGAAGGTTACCCAGTGTTGCTTTAAATAACCAATTTCAATGTAATTATGCATTGACAGAGAAAATA